TTGTGTATGTGCCTGTGAATGTCTGTCTATATGAGAATATGTGAGTATGTGTGTGTGTGTATCTGAAGCTCACATTTATTGGTCTCTTCCTATTTAGAAATTCTCTTTCAGGTTATTTGTATTATCCTGATCTTACAGGTAAGAAACTGAAATTAGGACAGATGAAATCACCTTATCACACAGCTAAAAGACAATTCTCTTCCCCTTTACTTCTGTGGGGATCTGGGAGAGCTGTGAGCAGTCTCACCACTTCATGTACTTTCCTGGCTCATCAGCTTCAGTCCTGCAGTTATTTGCATTTGTTCCCTTGATCTCCATAGGTAACCACAGGAAACTCAAATTTCCTTCTAATGCATAACACTACAGGGGACAGGTACCCCTCGTTAAAATGCTCCTCTGAATTCAAATGGAAGGTTCGGCAGGTCAAGCCTTACAAGGAACCCCAATGGGAGTGAAGGCAGAATTTTCCCGTGAGAACTGATGTTTTGGTTATAGAACTGCTCGTTATTGAGTCTCCTCTAGGGAAGATAAAAAAAAAACAATAACCACAAAAAACAGAACAAATGAGTGAGACTAGGGAAGTATAATGACATAAAAGATGCAAAGGCAAATATATTCTTGTGTATTTACATGTTAATAACATATTGAGCTGAAAGAGTTTAGGAACAGCCAGCCTCATTGTTTCCTTTAACAACTGCATGATCAGGGCCCATAGAGCTGTGATTTGCCCAGTTTCACAGGGCATTTCACAGGCAGAGCAACAGCAGGATTCAGATCTCCTGATTGCCAGCCCATCCCTTTCTATTGCATCACTAAGGGATGAGTCAGACTTATCTCTTAAATAGGAGGCTGTTGGATTCTGTCTCCTCGGAACCTTCTTACCACTCACCTAGTTGATGATTTACCCTTCCACTGGAGTCAAAGGACTTTTGTTGCTCATGGTTAATCTGACCTGAGAAATGGAAATTGTTCTTAATGTCCCATCCTAGCAAAACAAATAGGAGATAGTTTTACTGGATCCTCAGGGCTACACAACAATTATAAGCTTCCTTTGGTTCTCTAGAGTAAAGCACAGGGAAAAAATGTTTTCTTAGGATCACAGAACAATGAAATGAATTAAACAGAACAAAAGTATCTGTGCTCCAAGTTGAAAATACCTTTCTCTTATCTCCTTGAGACAACTATTATAAGAAAAAGAGGCAGACAAACCTGGGTTGGCCTTGGGTTTCTGTGTGTATTAGTTTTAAAGCCCCTGGTGTTTTTTTTTTCCTGGTGTGTTTACTTCATTGAACTTCATTTTTTTTTTTTTTTTGTAAGATGAGGTTATCTCTTTTTTAGAGGTAGGAAATGGAGAAAAAGCAAAAGGCTCAGTAATTATGAGATTTTATTCCCTTCTCAACAATTGTAGTTTAGGTGTGTGTGTGTGTGTGTTTGGAGAAAAGTCTCATACTTTCTTTGAACCAGGATCCTCAGCTTCCTGAGTAGCCAGGATTACTGGTGTGAGCCACTACATCTGGCATGGTATACTTTTTTGAAAGATTTTTTTAGGACAGGCACTAGTGGCTCACATCTATAATCCTAGCTACTTAGGAAGGAGCCTGACAACTGGAGGATTGCGGTTCAAAGCCAGTCTGAGCAGAAATGAGACTCCCCATCTCCAGTTAACCAGCAAAAAAGTTGGACTGGAGGTATAGCTGAACTGGTAGAGTGCCCAGCTGTGAGCAAGCAGTCCAAGCAGACAAGAGGCTCTGAGTTCCAACTCTGGTACTGGAAACAAAACAATTTTAAATTGAAGGCATGGTTTACACATAATGAAACAGACTTTAACTGTGTATTCAGTCAATTTTGAACTGATCTGTTTTGCAACAACATCTACCACTTATTCCCAAATAAAGAACATTTGTGTTACCCCAGAAAGTTCTCTCATGTTCTTTGTCATTCTCCCCCAGAGGCATTGACTAATCTCATTTATATTGCCATAGGTTGGGTTTGCCTATTAATATGACATATAAATAGAATATGCAGTATGTCTTCTTGGGTCTGACTTCACTGATTTTGTTACATGTTTTGGTAGTTCGGTTCTTTATCATTTTAGTTTTGAATGTCTAGATGGGGTTAAAGAATTCCTAATAGGGACTGTGAAAGCATGAGGGATAGGCAGGAGAGAAAAGAGCGACAGTCATTGGATTGAAAGTCAGAATAGCTAGGTTTTACTGGTGGCTCTGTCAATACACAATCTATGGAATCATCTCTCTGGAGAAGGAAATGTACCTACCCAAGGTCATCCACTCAGCCAGTGAGTGGCACACCCATGGATTGTGCCAAGCCACTCAGTTCTCAGCTCAGTGCACTTTACTGGAACTTTTAGGAATTGATTGTTATGTAGTTCAATAACTTCCCAGAAGGACAGAATGCCTAGGTCAAACATGCAGTTTTCCTAGCTAACACCAGAAGATTCTATAGCTTTTCTTTTAGTCCTTTTCCTCTGGGTGAGAGTGCTTGTACTTTGGAAGCCTGTGAAATAACCAGCTGTGATTCTGAAAGTAGATGATTTTGTCACAGAGAAAGAAATCAAATCTGGGTGTTTGACTCTTATTAGGAAAGCTCTATGAGCATGCATTGGGTGAACTGGATCTGCTGGAAAAACTGCAGGCAGGGGTAGATAATGTGTCTTGTGCTTATTTCATTTGTACTTTGATCTCTTTGTATACATTTGATTTCGAAATGTCCAATTTTCTTGCAGAATGTAAAATGATGTTGCTGTTAACACTCTCCCTGGAATAACTCATTCTCAGACATTTCAGCTCATTCTTACAGGATCAGCTCACCATTCAGACAGAATGCCCAAGCATTCTGGGGAAAGAAAATTCTTTAAAATATAGCTACTAACCAAAGAAGAATCCCTCTTACTTCCTCTGCCAGCATTAAGCCCCTTGCTGAAGCAGAGGAGGGAGCCCCAGTATTCCCTACCAAGGGAAAGTATAAAGTTTCAGTCTGGACTCGCTCCAGTTCTCTTCCAATTTCTAAAGTCAGCAGACCAAAGATCTAGTCTGGCAACTTTACCTAGGGAGGGAGGAGTATCTTCTTACTTAACTAGTAAAACATATTACAGTGCACCTTTGTATTAGGACCTTGCAGCAGAAGAGCTAAACCATGAGTCTGATCTAAGCTTGGTCAAGAGGGGCACCCAGCCAAGAAGTCCCCCTACTCTCTTCCCAGGTGACCCAGAATTACCAGAGGTAGATGTTAGATTGTATCAGAACAGGCATAAACTACCTTCAGGCATAGACTACCTTAAGCCCCAGCTCTATGGCGGGCTGCAGAACTGAGACTGAAGAAAAACACAAAACTTTACATCTGAGTTGCTTACACTTACTAATTTTTCTTTTTTTTTTTTTTTTCGGTCGTGGGGCTTGAACTCTGGGCCTGGACGCTGTCCCTCAGCTCTTCAGCTCAAGGCGAGCGCTCTACCACTTGAGCTACAGCGCCACTTCCAGTTTTCTGGTGGTTTATTGGAGATAGGAGTCTCACGGTCTCTCCTGCCCGGGCTGGCTTTGAACCGCGATCCTCAGATCTCAGCCTCCTGAGTAGCTAGGATTACAGGCGTGAGCCACCAGCGCCCGGCATACTAATTTTTCTTGTAAAGCAAACTAATAACAAGCAGTGTGGTCACTATGTGTTAAGCTGTGCACTGGATGCTTGTGAGAGGACAAGCCAAACTTTAGAGCAAGACAGACTGAGTCCCATCTTTAGCACCTCTGTAAAAAGTGTAAAAAGCTGTGAATACTGTGTTGGGAGGACTGGTTTAGACATCATAACTAAGGATGATCATTAGTATACAATAATGATGGCAGACTTAGATTCTAAGCTCATTCATTACTTATATAACAATATTTTTACAACTCATTCTTCCAACAATTCTGAGGAAGGTCTATATTTTCTAGTTTTGAGGCTTGTGAGGAAAGTAATAAAGACATACACATTTTGTGTGTGGGTACTGGTCCTGGGCTCTAACCTAGGGCCTGGGTGTTCTCCTTGAGTTTTTTTTTTTTTTTTTTTTTTCACAAGGCTAGCACTCTACCTCTTGAGGCACAGCTCCACTTCTGGCTTTTTGTGTTTAATTGGAAATGATTCTCATGTACTTTCCTGCCCAGGCTGCCTTTGAAATGGGATCCTCAGATGTCAGTATCATGAGTAGCTAGGATTACAGGCAGGAGCCACCAGTGCCTGGCTATACACAAGTTGTTATAGGAAGCCATTATTTCTGCTAAGGATGGCCTTTCACTGATCTGTTCTAGTATCACCCTGCTGTCTCCATGACCTATTACATTTAATTACATAAGCATTAAGATGATTTCTATCTAAAATAGCTCATTTAAAAGTTTTTCTACTTTACAGTGGACAAAAGTAAAACTGTACTTCTATTTCTGAACTTTGATACTTTTCTGGGCTAGCACAGTATGTAACCTTATGAAACTGGGCAGTGGCAGTAAATCCACTGCCTGGTTAGACATATGAAGGTGAGCAACTGACACTACAGCATATTGTGTAATTAAACCTGATGTTCAGTAGATTAAAGATTTTAAATGATATGTGTGCTCATGTGGTATTAGGTATCAAATCCCAGGACTCATGCATGCTAGGCAAGTGCTCTATCATGCAGCCATATTCTTCCATTTCTTCCGCTTAAATGCAACTCTGTATGTTCTGTTCATTCAGCAGACTCTGGTTCCCATTTGCTGAGAGTTTCTTGTTTGCTTCTTTCCCTTAAGATGAATGAAATATCCAAAATAGCTGATGAAATAAAAGGCGCTCCTGCCGTTGTTAGACAATAAGTTAACTGCTCCAGTGTTACTTTATTTTCACCTGTGAAATAGACTGTAAGCAACAGGCAGGCAGATGCCACACTGCTCCTCTCATCAGTTTCCAACACATGCCCCAGAAACACTTTCTGTTGTTGAGCTTGTGAATGAAAAAAATGAAGATCTGATGAGGAAACCTTGTGAATTTACTTCGAAAATGACAATTTCCCTGTAATCAGGTCAGTATTTGGCACACTGACCTAAGAGGTAGGATGGGAGTACCTCTTATCCCATTTTGTTTTACATACAAATATTGGTGGAACAAGAAGGGTAAGGATGTAAGAAATGTGATCATTAAAATAAAACAGCTCTTGGTAATCATGTTCAAATCCATGGTACCTGGCCTTCAACTTTAGTCCCAAAGATTAAGAGTTTTTGGAGTGTATGTTTTACTCTTCTCTGTGCCTTTTCTTATTGATGTGTAGGTACTTTCAATTTATTCCCAGGTTTTACATCTTCAGGTCCACACTTCCACCACTTAGGATTCCTTCCTCTCCAGGTCTCTGTGGGTGCTAGTTTATGCAGGGCCATGCTTAGGGCAGGTGGCTGGGAGTCTCAGCACTGGGCACTGGTTTGCTCTTTTCTCTTCTGCAGTTCTTCCCGCCGCTTTGCCTGCTGCTTGCTCATGCAATCCCTGAAGGCCTGCACCTGAGGCTGACACTGCCTCCAGTCCTGGTGTTGAGCCATGCACTCTTGCACTGCAAAGTGAGAAGCAGCACAGCCAGAGCGAGAAATCAGCTGGTCTAGAGGGTCTTCCTCCTCCTCCTCCTTCTTCACCTGTCGGGCCCAGTTGTGGCCTTTAGGGACAGAAGTTGACATCCTGGGTAGTCTACAGAATACCAATACAGCAGACAAGGTCAAAGTACAGATATAATTATATTAGGATTCTTGTATTACAAATACCACTGACTAGATTGCACTGTTAAAGCCTGCTTATATGTCTGTGTCCCTTGGAAAACTAAGGGTTTTTTTTTTTGTTTGTTTTTTTGATGACAAATACAGTTTATCTCGGTACCTCAGCACTAGGCCTGGCAGAGAGATAATAGTTTGAACTGAAACTATGTGAGAGTGCTTACATCTACTCAAAAAGCTCAACAAACCAGGCATTCATAGCTCACACCTGTCATCTTACCTACTCAGAAGGCTGAGATCTGAGCATTACCATTTGAAGCCAGCCAACTCTGGTACGAGAGTCTGTAAGACTTTTATCTCCAATTAACCACCAAAAAATAAAAAGTGGGGTCGTGGCTCAAGTGATATAGCATGACTCTATCATAAGCTCAGGTACAGCACCCAGGCCCTGTGTTCAAGCCCCAGTACACACACACACACACACACACACACACACACACACACACACACACACACACACACACACACACACACACACACACACACACACACACACACACACACACACACACACACACACACACACACACACACACACACATTCAGTGATTGGGCTGAGGATGTAGCTGATTGGTAGTGCTCTCTAAGCCCTCTGGATTAGACATCGCCCCCCCCCCCCTTCCCCAGCACAACAAAACATAAACATTTCAGTGACTGGAGAAAATGTGAGAACAAGAAATGAAAGTTGGCAAAAAGACTAAGTGACAATAGCAGGGCTCTGCAGGTCATACTGAGGAGTTCACAAGAGGAATTTATTTTTTATTTTATTTTTTAAAAAAGGTTTTCTTTTTTTCTTTTTGTTGGTTGTGGGGCTTGAACTCTGGGCCTGGGCACTGTCCCTCAGCTCTTCAGCTCAAGGCTAGCATTCTATCACTTGAGCCACAGTGCCACTTCTGGCTCTTTTTTTTCTTCTGCTTATGTGGTGCTGAGGAATCGAACCCAGGGCCTCATGCATGCAAAGCAAGCACTCTACCACTGAGCCACCTTCCCAGCCCTTTATTTTTTATTTATTTAATTAAAAAAAATTTTTTTTGTCTGTTGTGGGGCCTGAACTCTGGGCCTGGGTGCTGCCCCTCAGTTCTTCAGCTCAAGGCTAGGGCTCTACCACTTGAGCTATAGCACCACTTCCCACAAGAAGAATTTAATCACTTTTTATCTCTACACAAAACTCATTTGCTTTGCAGGCAGAATTATTTGGGGAGGTGGCTTTGAAATAGACATGAATTAATTGGATATCTATAGCTTTGTTATTGCATCATTAGATGCCTTTAGGAGTCACTTAGTCATCTTTTTATGAAAGTAGGGATGATTGATGATTCCCCTCCTCCTCCCCTCCCCCCCCCCCCCCCCCCCCAATTCTGGGGCTTGAACTCAAGGCCTGGGGCTTGAACTCAAGGCCTGGGCTTTGTCCCTGAGCCTCTCGGTGTTAGAGGCTAGCACTCTACCACTTGAGCCACAGCACCACTTCTGGCTTTTTCTGTTTATGTGGCACTGAGGAATCATGCATGCTACCCAAGCACTCTACCACTGAGCCACATTCCCAGCCCTGGATGATGTTTGTATAAGGAGAAAGCCAAGAATATAGGAAATTACAGTTTCTATTACTGTACAAGTTTACTCTTCCTAAGCACACTCAGATCTTTAAAGGCCAGGAGGAAATCTCTTAAGAACACTAACAGTGGAAGAGGGCTAAGAGATCCAGATTCGAATGCTAGCATCTAACCTTTTAAATGTTTTCACTGATAATGTTTAACTCGCAGAATTAAAGTGAGGGCTGACAGGGTGAACATTCACTGCTTTAAAAAGAGACTCGGTTAATACTCCCGCAGTCTCCCTGGAGTAACAAGCAGATCAGAGCTGAGAGATAGATAAGGGCAGGTTAGGTGGTTGGCAGGTGAATGGTGGAGGCCAGCCAGGGCTAGGAAGGCTTGAGAAGGATGGGAAAACAGAAAACCCATGGCAGCTCAAGCTCTAGAAGCGCCCAGCCCACCTAAAGAAGAGGACGCATGCGCGTGAGTGGCCGCCAGCGCTCTCGCGTCGACCCCGCGGCGCCCTCCCCACGCAGGGACGCCGTGCGTGATGCTCACCTAACCGGTATAGAAAAGGCCTCAGACGCGCGCTCTGCTGTAGCTGCGCGGGTTTGGCGGGCAGTTTAGGGGACAGTCCTCCCCGGGAGCCAGCCCGTTTGGGGGAGCGTGCGGGAGGAAGGGCAGGGAACCCACTCCGCGATTTCATTGGTGATCTCGGTATAGATCCCGCCTTCGGTCCTCTCGCGTCTTTTCGAGGGAGCCACTTCCGGAAGAGGGGGGGAAAGAGGCGGGCTGGTGGAGGCGGGGTCAAGATGGCGGCGCCCTTGAGGATTCAGAGCGACTGGGCCCAGGTCCTCAGGTGAATCCAGGCCCACAACAGGGAGTCGAGGCGGGTAGCAGATGTAGTTTTTGCATCAGAGATGGCCATGCCTGGTACAGAATAACTGTAGTATTGCTTTATCATTATCTCTAGCTCCCAGAGAGCTCAAAGTCCAGAAAAATAAATCTTAAACTCACTTGATCATCATTTTTCAATTTGAACGGCAGGCCTGAGACTAAAGTGGAATATGTAGCTCACTGTGCTCCTCCATCAGAACTAAAATCAGCGAGATGGAGGAAGGTAAAGTGGGAGTCAGGAAGACTCGTGTTCTAGTTGTCATTTACAAGATACTGGTCATCAAGCATTTTCAGAGTTCCAGTACTACTTTACATATGTGATGGAGTCTTTGTGTCTTCCTCGGTCCCCAGCACATAATGGACTGGACTGTCAGAAAACGGTAACATCTACCATGTCCAGGCTCTTAACTCCCTGTTCAGTGGATTTTTTTTTTTTTGGTCGGCAGTGCTTGAACTCAGGATCTGGATACTGTCCCTGAGCTTTCACTCAGGTGTAGCTCTACCAATTTGAATATGGCGCCACTTCTGGTTTGCGGTTGGTTAATCAGAAATAAGAGTCTCATGGACTTTCCTGCGTAGGTTGGCTTTGAACCGAGATCCTCAGATCTTAGCCTCCTGAGTAGCTAGGATTACAGGTATGAGCCATCGCACCTGGCTCATACACTTAATTTTAAGTGATGGTTGCTGAGCTTTAAGAAAACTGCATTATTAGGACGACACAGCAAACCATTCATAGATTTAACACACACATATAATTTTTAAAAGTTATTTTACTTTACTTTTTTTTTTTTTTTTTTTTGTCGGTCGTGGGGCTTGAACTCTGGGCCTGGGCGCTGTCCCTCAGCTCTTCAGCTCAAGGTGAGCGCTCTACCACTTGAGCTACAGCGCCACTTCCGGTTTTCTGGTGGTTTATTGGAGATAGGAGTCTCACGGTCTCTCCTGCCCGGGCTGGCTTTGAACCATGATCCTCAGATCTCAGCCTCCTGAGTAGCTAGGATTACAGGCTTGAGCCACCAGAGCCCGGCCTTTACTTTACTTTTTGCTAGTCTTGGGGCTTGAATTGTGGGCCTGTGTGCTGACACTGTGCTCCTTTTTTTTTTTGGTTCAAAGCTAGCACTCTGCCATTTGAGCCACAGCGTCATTTTTCGCTCTTTTTGTGATTAATTGGAGATTGAGCTAGCTTTGAACTGTTATCCTCACATCATAGCCTCCCAAGTAGTAAGGTTCACAGGCCTGGCCACTGGCACCTGGCGTAACATATTTATTGATCATATACTGTGCTGATTCTGTATTCATCAGGAAGGTCGCAGTGCCATAAATGACTATTATTACCAGTGAAAGTTTTCAAATTGAATCATGGTGAAAATAAGTGAAAGCTAGCCTCCTGTATGTTCTATCATGTACAGTCACTCCCTTCTCCTCCCCTCCATTAAAAAAATTTTTTTTTTTTGAAAAGGGCCTTGCTAACTTTTCTCCGGCCTCAAACTTGTGATTCTCTTGTCTCTGCCTCCTAAGTAACTGGAGTTATTGGTATTTGCTGCCACCATGACTAGCTAGCCTAGGCCCTTCCATCATGTGTTAGAACACATACCTTATTGGGTATCACTCCCAAATGTTCCAGTTTTCATAACTACATGTCTTTGGGCAAGAGACTTCTCTCTCACCTTTAGTTTCCTTTTTGTTGTTGGTGGTGATGGTGGTCGTGGAGCTTGAACTCCTGGACCTGGGCACTGTCCTTGAGCTCTTCAGCTTAAGGCTAGTGCTTTTCAACTTGAGCCACAGCTCCACTTCTGGTTTTCTGGTTGGAGATAAGAGTCTCAGGGACATTCCTGCCCCAGTTGGCTTTCAACCTGATCCTTAGATCTTAGCCTCCTGAGTAGCCAGGATTATAGGTATGAGCCACTGGTGCCCAGCTGAACTTTAGTTTTTTTAATATCTAGCTTTAGTATAAATGTATTTTTGTTTAGTTGGCTATAGGCCAAGTTCCTACCTAGCACAGGGTCTGCTTTACAGTAATCCCAATAAATATCTTGATATTGTTTATTTCAAAGTGAACTCCTTATTGGCCATTGTGTGCATTGATTTAACTTATAGGTATCTATTGATACTTAATCCACAAATAGTTCAACAAATAACTTAGGACTACCTTAGAATAATCTATGCCTGGATGGGAGGTTAGACTACATCATTTAAGACCAAAATGTAGATTCTATGACAGTAGTATCTGTTGACTTTGTGTGAGCCTAATTAGACTTTTGTCTCTCTTCACAGGAAAGATGAAGGGGAGGCCTGGGTGAGTTGTCACCCTCAAGGTAATGTTCATCAATCTTTATGGTCTCTCTTCAAAGAAGGTATATACTACTCCTAGAATTACAGCTTGTTTCTTTTTTGCTTACACAGTGTTTATGGTCTACAAACATGCTTAGCTGGTCTGTGCTTTACTGACATTACTCCCATCCCACTCCAGATGGCCTGCAGACTAGTTTCTGTTGGGTAGCCACAGACAGTTTATGGAGACATGAAGATAGTAATGCATCTTAATCAGTCCCTTAGCTCTGTATTGTTGCATTCTAGATTGCAGCTTTCAGCTGGGCAATAGTGGCTTGTACCAGAAGGTTGAGATCTGAGGATTGTAGTTCAAAGCCAGCCTGGGCAGGAGAGTCCATGAGACTCTTATCTCCAATTAATTACCAAAAAAACTGGAAGTGGTGCTGTAGCTCAAGTGGTAGAGTGGTGGCCTTGAGCAAAGGAGCTTAGGGACAGCATCTAGGCCCAGAGTTCAAGGCCTAGGACCAGCAAAAAATTAAAAAAAAAAAATCTACTAATGCAGAATTGAGCCATTACTGATTTGTGTGTGTGTGTGTATATGTGTCCTGGTCCTGGGTTTTGAACTCAGGGCCTGGGCACTGTCCCTGAGCTTTTTTGCACAATGCCAGAACTCTACCATTTGAACCATAGCTGAAACTTTCAGCTTTTTGATGGTTAATTAGAAATAAGAGTCTCACAGATTTACTTGCCTGGGTTGGCTTCAAACCTTGATCCTTAGATCTCAGCTTCCTAAGTATCTAAGAGTACAGGCATGAGTCACTGGCTCCTGGATCCATTATTGATTTTCACAACTAATTATATAAATAAGAATGAGTCTATAACTAAAAATTATTTGAACATGACCTTAATTTCCTCCAAGTCAGGTACTGTCTTTCAAAATCTTTTTCCAGTAGAAAAAGCTGGAAGTGGTGCTGTGGCTCAAGTGGTAGAGCGTTAGCCTTGAACTGAAGAGCTGAGGGACCTACGCCCAGAGTTTAGGCCCCACAACAGACCAAAAAACCAAACCAAACCAAACAACAACAAAAAAATCTTACTCAATTCTCCCTACAAATCCCTCTCCCTAATCCCTTGTTTGAGATCCATGATGGTTTCTACTTTACTATTACTTCTAGAACTTAAGAACTTCAGTATAACATTTGTTATACTGAATTACTTGTAGCTAGTTTCTGAATTCAAGGACTTCATGGTCTAGCCAGGAAGACAGACACAAAAACTGTGAGTATATGAAGTCCAGAAGATTGGAAAAAGACTTTAATCTCATTGTGCCATCTGCATATGTACATATGTAGGATAATATTTTATTCTACTCACTTGACTGGAAAATCAGTCTTCTACTTAAGCAAAGGTTTAAAGATTTTTTTCACATTACTGAAGCTTAATTCTTTGCTGTGTAACACACACATACACACACACACACAGACATGTTAATCTTTCTTTTTTTGGGGGGGGGTTCCATTCGTGGGGCCTGAACTCTGGGCCTGGGCGCTGTCCCTCAGCTCTTCAGCTCAAGGCTAGCGCTATACCATTTGAGCCACAGCGCCACTTCCGGCTTTTTTCTTTTTGCTTATGTGGTGCTGAGGAATCGAACCCAGGGCCTCAGGCATGCAAGGCAAGCACTCTACCACTGAGCTACCTTTCCAGCCCCATTCTTCCTTGAGGATTTGTATTTTATAGCCAGTAAACAAATTGAGATACCTCTAGCAGCTTTGTACAAAAAGATTCTCTCTCTCTGCAGATACAGCACTAATTCTTTGTTCCTTTTAGCCTTCCAGTCTATTTTAGGTATGCTCTTCCCATTTCTTCTGACTTTGAACACAAGAATCTATTTTTATTTCATGGACATACTATCTATACAGGTGCCTGAGTTGCATCTTCAAGGAGAATAATATTAAGTTCTTATTTTTTGAGATGTTTCTTTTGTGTTGTATAGGGAAACCATCATTGTATGGCAGCTTAACTTGTCAAGGAATTGGCCTAGATGGCATCCCAGAGGTTACAGCTTCAGAAGGATTTATTGTGAATGAAATAAACAAGGTAGGTTTTTATGTCTTGCTGATAATGTATTCAAAACTGTGATTCTACTCATATCTACTTTAGGTATTTATGTTATTATCTGTGTATCTGTGTAGACTAACATTTCATTTGTATAGTAATAATTTTTACTCCTTAGTGTTAAGAGTTTTCTTTTTCTCTTTAATCACATTTACATTTTTGTTTGTTTTTGAGTCCAAGTTTCACTATGTAGGCTTGGCTGGCCTTGAACTTGTGATCTACCTGCTGAATTTCAGGCATGTTGGGCACCACACTTAGATTATATTTACTTTTAAATGGAATCAAATGTTGCTAATTACTCACTTTAAATCAGCTCTGATATTGCAACTGTAATTTAAAATTTTTCTGGGGGCTGGGAAGGTGGCTGAGTGGTAGAGCGCTTGCTTTACATGCACGAGGCCCTGGGTTCGATTCCTCAGCACCACATAAGCAAAAAGAAAAAAGCCGGAAGTGGCGCTGTGGCTCAAGTGGTAGAGCACTAGCCTTGAGCTGAAGAGCTGAGGGACAACACCCAGGCCCAGAGTTCAGGCCCCATAACCGGACCCCCCCAAAAAAATTTTTTTTCTGGAAACCACATTAAAAAGTAGAAATAGATTAAATTAATTTTAATTATTTAATCTAAGTACCTAAAATATTATTTCAACCTATAATTACTATACAAGCTTATTAAAAAATATTTTATATTCCCTCCTTTTCTCCCTTCCTGCCTTTCTTTCTTTCCTTTTTTTTTTGTTGGTTATGGGGCTTGAACTCTGGGCCTGAGTGCTGTCCCTAGACTATTTGGCTCAAGGCTAGAGCTTTACCACTTTGAGCCATAGTGCCACTCTGGTTTTTTGGCGGTTTATTCGAAACAAGAGTTTCATGGACTTTTCTGCCTGCGCTGGCTTTGAACTGAGATCCTCAGATCTCAGCCTCCTGAGTAGCTAGGATTACAAGCATGAGCCACCCGCCTGGCTTTCTTTCTTTTTTGTACTTGAGCTCAAACTCAGGACCTGGATGCTATCTCTAAGCTTTTTTTGGGGAGCGGGGGATTTTAGGTCATTTTATTTGCAGTGTCTCACATATATTCATGTCATATATGCATATATATAGAAAGAGTTATATGATATATATACATATATAATATATAAATGTATAATACATATAAAGTTATATATGTAAAAATCATGTAAAGTTTTATATATGAATGTATTAAGTATATAAAGTATTATAAGGTACATAACTTTATATATATATAAGTTTAATAACCATATTAGTGAATTTATTATTTATCCCTCATTGATTGTCTTTCTACTACTACTATTACAAACAGATTCCCTTTTTTTTTTTTTTTTTTTTGCACAAGGTTAGTACTCTACCACTTGAGCCACAGCTTCACTTTTTTGGTAGTTAATTAGAGATGAGTCTCAGGGACTTTCCTGCCCGGTATGGCTTTAAACCATAATTCTCAGATATCAACCTCCTGAGTAGGCTAGGATTACAGATGTGAGACACTGGTGCCTAGCTTCATTCCTTTTTTTTTGGTTGGTCATGGGGCTTGAACTGTGGGCCTGAGCATTGTTCCTGCACTCTTCAGTTCAAGGCGAGTGCTCTACTGCTTGAGCTACAATGCCACTTCAGATTTTCTAGTGGTTTATTGGAGATAAGAGTCTCACAGAGTTTCCTGCCCAGGCTGGCTTTGAACAGTGATCCTCAGATCTCAGCCTCCTGAGGTATGAGCCACCTGCGCTTCATTCCATTCATTCATTCATTCCACCCGGCTTCATTCCATTTTTAAAGTTAAAATCTTATGTATATTTTATATTTACAAGATGTCTCAACTCATACTCTTCATTTTTTATTGGAAATATCTGATCTCTACTTTTCTTTCATGGAATTTTCTGTTATAAACATATATTCACAGAGGTGTGACGTGTGTAGCACATTGGTAGAGTATGTACAAGGCCCTGGGTTCAATTCTTAACATCAAATATATAAACAAATAAACAACCCATGATTTTTTTCTGTAGCACAATAGCACAGACCAGTAGATCTAGTGATTTAGGAGGCTGAGGCAAGAGAGTCATTTGACCCCAGGGATTCAAGGCAAACCTGGGCAATGTATCCAGTCCTTACCTGTTTAAAAAAAAAGTAAAGAAAAGAAAGAAAATATTCCTACCCAAATAGTTTCCTTCCTTCCTTCCTCCCTCCTTCCCTCCATCCCTTCCTCCCTTCCCTTCCTTCCTTTCTTTCTTCCTTTCTTTCCCCCCCCCTTTCTCTCTTCCTTTCTTTCATCGGTCGTGGGACTTGAACTCTGGGCCTGGGTGTTATCCCTTAGCTCTTCAGCTCAAGGCTAGCACTCTACCACTTAAGCCACAGCATCACTTCCAGTCTTCTGGTGATTAATTGGAGATAAGAGTCCATGGACTTTCCTGCCCAGGCTGTCTTTGAACCTTGATCCTCAGATCTCAGCCTCCTGAGTAGCTAGGATTACATGTGTGAGCCACCAATGCCCAGCTGCAAATAGTTTTAGAGTAAAAGTCTTCTAATAACTGAATCAAGTTTTGAGTATCTGTTTTTAATTTTAAACTTCAAAATGCAGTTCTTGTTTTTTTTGTTTTTGTTTTTTGTTTTGCTTTGGCTTTACTTCAGGTGTTGAATGGCCTGATGCAGCTGTGAGCCCTCATATTGGATAGCACAGCTGTGCTATCTGTGCCTGGCTGGGATTTGGTGAGGAGCCTATAGTAATAGTACCTAGTGTTTTTCTCACTTGTCTTTGGGGAGGGGAAGAAATGTCTAAGCTCAGTGTTTTAGAACTGGTAATCTGCTCTTCCTTGCTCACCGGGACTGCTGCTATTAGCATGTACTGATGAGCTACCCCAAAGGGCAAATCTACCTTTTTTTCTTATTTTTTCTTTTATTGTGTAACTAATCGTGTGTGTGTGTGTGTGTGTGTGTGTGTGTGTGTGTGTGTGTGTGTATGTGTGTGTTTGGAGCCTAAACTTGGGACCTGGGCTTTATCCCTGAGCTTCTGAATCACAATCCTCAGATCTCAGCCTCCTGAGTAGCTAAGATTATAGGCATAAGCCATTGACTCCCACCTGATCTCTTTTTTTCCCTTTTACTATATTTGGAATATACTCCCCAAATTAAAGAATACTTGTTTTTATAATCTTTTTTTTTTTTTTTTTGTCGGTCATGGGGCCTGAACTCTGGGCCTGGGTGCTGTCCCTCAGCTCTTCAGCTCAAGGATAGCACTCTACCACTTGAGCCACAGTGCCACTTCTGGCTTTTTCTGCTTATGTGGTGCTGAGGAATCAAACCTAGGGCCTCATGCATGCAAGGCAAACACTCTACCACTGAGCCACCTTCCCAGCCCTGTTTTTATAATCCTAAGATCTTACATTTGTTTTCTTTTTTTTTTTTGTATGCAGCTATGGTTATAAAAAGTGTCAGAAGACATGAGGTTTTTTTTTAAGTTTTTTCAATTGTTATTATAAAGGTGATGTACAGAGAAGTTACAGTTACATAGTCAGATAAAGAATACACTTCTTTTTGGACAGTATCACCCCTTCTCTCGCTCTCAGTTTTTCCCTCTCATCCCCACCCATATAGGTCATTTTCAGCAAAGTGTCCAGTGAATACCATTGCTGCATTTATTTACCCTTTTTCTATTTCTGTGCCTTCATACATTCCCAAAGACAAATAAATGAACAAACAGAACAGAAAGGAAAAAAATCAGCAAAAAGAAAAACTTACTGTTTTTATTACGTGGAATTCGTTTTCATAATATTATTTTGTATGATCAGATATACATAAGCATTGTGCTTTTGTGTTCCTCTCCTAAGGGAGGATATCATCCTTTGGTCTCACTGTCTATGAATGCCTAGGGACCTGTATAACTTATTATGCCATGGTATTTTAGTTCTGCATATGAGAGAAAACATGTGCCATTTGTCTCTTTCAACTTGGCTCAAAGACATAAATTTTAAGTTTTAGTTAACTGTGACATTTGTTTTGTGATTTTGGACAAATAATTCTCTGAGCCTAGTTTGCTCATCTTTATCACAGACATAATACTATACCTCACAGGATGGTTATTGAGTGAGACAGCATATGGATGAAACTAAAATATTACAAAAGTTATTGTTTGAAAATCCTGTGGGAGGGGCTGGGAAGGTGGCTCAGTGGTAGAGTGCTTGCCTTGCATGCATGAGGCCCTGGGTTCGATTCCTTAGCACCACATAAGCAGAAAAAGCTGGAAGTGGTGCTGTGGCTCAGGTGGTAGAGCACTAGCCTCAAGCTGAAGAGCTGAGGGACAATGCCCAGGCCCAGAGTTCAGGCCCCATGACCAACCAAAAAAAGCAAAAAGCAAAAAAACCCAATCCTGTGGAATTGACATTTTAAATTTTCATTTGGTAGAAAAAAGAACAGATTCAAAGTTTTGTTATTTCCTAATAAAGTCAGATTTTATGTTGGAATTGCAAACCAGTACTACTACTAACAGGTTGAACACCCCATTGCAAGGCTGTCTTTTCACCACATGCTTTACCAATATTCATATTAGCCAGGTGGTCACTTTTGCTTTCCTTTTTTTCTTTTTTCCTTTGTCTGTCTCTGTCTCTGTCTCTGTCTCTCTTCTGTCTTTCTCTGTCTCTGTCTGTCTGTCTCTCTGTCTCTCTCTCTCTCTCTCTCTCTGGCAGTACTGGGGCTTAAATCTGGGCCTTCTATTTGCTAGGCAGGCATTGTACTTATTGAGCCCTGCCTTCAGTCCTTTTTGCTATCTAGATTACTTTTCAGATAGGATCTTGAGTTTTTGCTCAAGCTGACATTGGGCCTTGAACCTCTTACCTATGCCTCCCACATAGCTAGGATTAAAGGCATGTCAATGTGCCTGGCTGGCATGTTCGTTGTTATAAAAGATGGGGTCTTGGTAACTTTATCTCCAGATTAGCTGGACCTGTCACCCTTCTACATCTCTTGAATATCTGAAATTATAGATGTGAACTACTATGCCTGACTCCTTTTTTCTTAAGTCTTCAAAATTCTCTCTGTGTGTGTTGTTGAGTGTGTGTTGTGTGTGTGTGTGTGTGTGTGTGTGTGTGTGTGTGTGTGTGTTTATTTTATTTTATTTTTTTGGTCAGTTTTGGGGCTTGAACTCAGGGACTTGGTTACTGCCTTTGAGTTTTGCAGTGTAGTAGAGTAGTTCTCTATTACTTTGAGCCACAGAGCCACTTCTGTTTTTTTATGGTTAATTGGAGATAAGAGTTTTATAGACTTACCTTCCCAGGTTGGCTTTGAACTATGATCCTAATATCTCAGCCTACTGGTACCCGGCCTATGTATAGTTTATATTTAAAACATATCTCAGTTCATATTCTAATTTATTTTATTGGAAACACCTGATCTGTATTTCTTCCTTTATATTTAGGGCCAGATACATTTTTTATCTCTTCAAACATCATTGCTAATTTCTGCTGTGAACCTGCTAAGTGGGTTCAGACAGTAAGTGGTTATGGTTGAACATTCATTTCCTAACTGCCATGAGTCATTTTGCTGTTTGCTGTTGCTGCATTGTGCTGTTCAATGGATCTGTCATTATGCTTAAATGCTTATTAACACTGGAGGATTAAAAAAAATAGTTTGAAGCTAGGTGCCATTGGCTCATGCCTGTAATCTTAGCTACTCAAGAGGCTGAGATTGTGGTTTGAAGTCAGCCTGGACAGAAAAGTCTTATCTCCAGTTAACCACCAAAAAGCTGGAAGTGGAGCAGTGGCTTAAGTGGTGGAGCACTGGCCTTGAGTAAAAAAGCTCAGGGATAGTGCCCAGGCCCAGAGTTCAAGCCCTAGGACACACACACACATACACACACACACACACACACAGGTACACACACACACACACACACACACACACACACACACAATTTGAATATTGTGTCAATGTGACATACTTACAGTTTCTCCCCTCTAGATTTTATCTCCTGTAGTTTTTCTTTAAAACATTTCACTAACAGCATACTTGTCTACTGCTGACATTAGAAGGTAGTTTAACATTTACTTTCCTTTGTAGTCTGTTTATGGATTAAAGGTTGATATGCAGGATTTATGAACAGGAGAAAAATACTGGTCCTTGAAATTTTTCACATAATTAAGCCCCAAGGAAATGAAATTGTCTGAGAACAAACCCAATTCTTATAGAGGCCCAAACACCAGCCATTGGAGCTCCTTACAGCCTTGATGGTATTCAGCCAAGAGAATTTAGCTGACACTTTAGTTTCTGGTACAGAAGGCAGTTCCAAATCCAGGTCAGTTACCTTGCGCCTATGGGCTTTGTCACAAGGTTAGAAGAAAAAAAGTAATTAATGGAGGGTCTGCAGGCATGGATGGGCTGGCTAAGAAAATGCTGTTTATATAGATATCCAATTTGCCTTTTAAAAGAAGTGGATGACTTGTGTTGTAATAACAGCATATTGATTCTTGGTGATGACAAAATTAGGATTTTGAAACTTTCCTAATGAGGTGTATAAACCTGTGACTGTTGGATGAAAAGAGATTCAGAAAATCTTGATAATTTACAACTTCCTCCCTCTCTCCCTCCCTCCCTTCTTTCCTTCCTTCCTTCTTTTCTTTCTCCCTCCCTTCATTTTCTTCAAGCCTTGAAATCAGGGCCTCACACTTGCTGGGGCGGTACTCTATATCTTGAGCCATGCCTCCAGTGTAGCTTTTTAATTTTTTTTTTTTTTTTGTCGGTCATGGGGCCTGAACTCTGGGCCTGGGCTCTGTCCCTCAGCTCTTCAGCTCAAGGGTAGCACTCTACCACTTGAGCCACAGCGCCACTTCTGGCTTTTTCTGCTTATGTGGTGCTGAGGAATCAAACCTAAGGTCTCATGCATATAAGGCAAGCGCTCTACCACTGAGCCACTTTCCCAGCCTGCTTTTTTGATTTTTTTAATTACTATTACAAAGATGATATACAGAGGGGTTACAGTTACATAAGTCAGATAAAGTGTACATTTCTTTTTGGACAATGTCACCCCTTCCCTCACTTTCAGTTTTTTCCCTCCCATCCGTGCCCACAAATTGTGTAGTTCATCTTCAACATAGTGTCTAGTAAGTACCACTGCTGCATTTGTTCACCCCCAATGTAACTTTTTGCTGATTATTTTAAAGATAGCATCTCTCAGACTTTTCTGCCCAAGCTGGTCTCAAATTGTTATCCTTCAGACCTCAGACTCCTGATTAGTTAGGATTACCAGTATGAGCCATCAGCCCCCAGCTTAAAGACATTTTCATTGTCCTGAATAAACTTTGAAGTGCTGTCGCAGAAAAGATAACATGTTAGGAGCCTTTGAGTGAGTGTATCTTCTTGGAAACTCATAAGAGAGACACTGCTAGTTGGCATTCTGTTGGTCAGAACATGTTGTTGGTGTTGGTATTGGTGTTAGAGTAAGGGAAATTACATTGTAGGAATCTTTAAGGAAAGGCTTTACCAAACCTTGTGTGTGTGTGTGTGTGTGTGTGTGTGTGTGTGTGTGTTAGTAGTGGGGAATTGAACTCAAGGCCTCATATTGTTGCTTAGCTTTTTCACTTAACGTTGATGTTTTCCTACTTGAGCTACATCTCCATTTCTGGCTTTTTGCTAGTTAATTGGAGATAAAAGTATCTCAAATCTCAGATCTCATCCTCCTGAGTAGCTAGGATGGACATACTTTCCTACTGTGCCATCAATGTTAATCTTGCTGCTGTAGCTGAAATACATGAGATGATGACTGCACATCCTAACAGCTATGTGATGATGGCCAGTATATGATTATGTCAACTTAAGTCCTAGATGGGACTGGCCACTGCAGTCCTGACCCAGGCCCCACACATTGTGTGGGTGTGCCGTAATTTACCAGTTTTCTGTGATAACTGAAAATATGAATGGTCTAACAATCTTTTTTTTTTTTTTTTTTTTTTTTTTTTGGTCGTGGGGCTTGAACTCTGGGCCTGGGTGCTGTCCCTCAGCTCTTCAGCTCAAGGCAAGCGCTCTACCACTTGAGCTACAGCGCCACTTCCGGTTTTCTGGTGGTTTATTGGAGATAGGAGTCTCACAGTCTCTCCTGCCCGGGCTGGCTTTGAACCACGATCCTCAGATCTCAGCCTCCTGTGTAGCTAGGATTACAGGCGTGAGCCACCAGCGCCCGGCTGGTCTAACAATCTTGAACATTGTCATAGGCAAAGATTTACTTCTAGACTTATCTGTTAGACAGTAGGCCTAGTGGCTGGTGCTGAGTTTCCTTATCTCTTTGTGCATTATGCTGCTGATCCTGTTCCTTCCTCTGCTGCTAATCAGAATATTGCTACTTGATCTTCTAAAAGTTCATGCACTGACGCTTTTCTGTTATGTCCTATTGTTGGTCTGAATTCTATGGGACAGTTCACATCAACATAAAAAGGTACTGGCATCTCAGCAATAACAAATTATACTTCAGTTCTCTGAAGTAAATCAACTTTGGAGCCAAGGGGAGAGAGTGGTAGTTTTGTGAGCCAGGGAAAGAAGATTAGAGTGGGTACACTTAGGAGATGAGACTTTCCTGTAGTCCTAATGTTTTCTTTAAGAGGCTTCAATTAAATTGGCGCAGCTTCACTGATGAATTTTATCTTTCCTTCTATCTAGAAAAGCATTCATATTTCATGTCCAAAGGAAAGTGCATCTTCTAAGTTTTTGACACCATATACTACTTTTTCCAGAATTCATACAAAGAGTGTAAGTATTTGATAAATAAAAAGAAAATTTCATAGTTATTTTCACTTTACCTGTTTGTCTCATGCTGTAAACATATTTATAATTAATTAGTATATTGCATTGTAAAATGGTAGAACTAATGATATTGGCAAAACTAGTTCTTAAGTCCACACTTAAAATTTGTATAAATCTGTACTTGTCATCTTAGAGACTATATGAAATGTCCTTAAGTATGTTTTAACACAGCCACATAATAGCTCTGTGATAATCTTATAATAATTAATGCTTTCATAAATGCTACTACTGTTCATATTTTATTGCCTGCCTACTAGACAGGAACATCTCAAGATTCCAAATGTACCATTTTGAAGAATATTTTAGCTGTTTTTATTATAATGCCCTTGAGCTTTTTTGAGGCAGAAGTAAGAAAGTAGTAGATAAACTAGCAGGTAAATTACAGAAAAGCATCTATATCTTACTGTGTGGTACACTTTTTTTTTAAGCTAATTTTTATCCTTATTACAAAACAAATATATATATATAGTGACGAAGTATAAAAGAAAGTGAAAAAAATCACTCAGATCTCTATAATCTAAAGATAACTAAAGAACTTTTGCTGGATAGCCTTTATTAATAATAGTAGTTAGTGATAACTAACATTTACTGATTGCCTGCTATGATCCAGCTGAAGTCTACATATCATTATTTTACTTAATTCTTTCAGTCTCTCCTATTGAAAATAGGTATTTTACTTGAGTAAGTTTTTACAATACATGCTCTTGGGGCTTGAACTCTGGGCCTAGGCACTGTCCCTGAGCTCTTCATCTCAAGGCTAGCACTCTACCACTTGAGCCACTGTGCCACTTCTAGTTTTCTGGTGGTTAATTGGAGATAAGAGTCTCATGGACTTTTCTGCCCAGACTGGCTTTGAACTGTGATCTTCAGATCTCAGCCTCCTGAGTAGCTAGGATTACAGGTGTGAGCCATCAGCACCTGGCTAATACATAACTCTTTTATAACTTACTTTTTTTTCTTTCTGGCTACTTTTCTTATTTTACTTAAAAAATTAGTATATGTTACTGTTTTTTGTTTTTACAAATTTTAATGGATACATTATGCTATGTTCATATGTGCAATGTACTTTGGTCATATTCACCCCATCATCTTCTCCTTTCCACCTCCCATAGTTTTTTTGGTTTCCTTCCTCCAAAATCCCTTTTTTTAATAACTTGCTTTTTATTACTTATATACATTTTTCCAGTACTGGGGATTCAGTCTAGAACTTGGTGTGTGCTAGGTAGGCATTCTATTATTGAGCTATATTTCCAGTCTTTTTAACTTTTTATTTTGAGACAAAATAAAGCTTGAGCTTCAAATTTGCAGTTCTCCTGCCTCTGCCTCTCAAGTGCTAGGATTAGAGGCATAAACCACCATTCCTGGCTTACTGTATATTATTCTATGTCATCTCTCTAGGTATTTTTTTTTTTGTCATGGGGCTTGAACTCAGGGTTTGGGCACTTTCTCTGAGCTTTTTCGCTCAAGGCTAGTGCTGTACCACTTTGAGCCACAGCTCCATTTTCAGTTTTCTATTGGTTAATTGGAGATAAGAATCATGGACTTTTCTCCCTGGGCTGGCTTTGAACTGTGATCCTCAGGGCTTAGCCTCCTGAGTAGCTAGGATTATATGCATGAGCTACCCACTGGCACCTGGCTCTCTCTAGTATTTTCTTACAGCTGCATGATATTACATGTCTGACTTTGCAATATTTTCCCAGTCTTGATTATTCAACATACATGTGTTCCTAATTTCTTCATTTTGTGCTTTTGTGAATATGGAATCTGAATTTCTCTATACATATCTATATAGAGGTATGTATATATGCTCTATATATACCTATATAGAGATATACAGAAGTGTCTTTATTCTTACTTGAATACTTTAGGTATTTAAAAAGTTAATGCAAGCCGGGCGCTGGTGGCTCACGCCTGTAATCCTAGCTACTCAGGAGGCTGAGATCTGAGGATCGCGGTTCAAAGCCAGCCCGGGCAGGAGAGACCGTGAGACTCCTATCTCCAATAAACCACCAGAAAACCGGAAGTGGCGCTGTAGCTCAAGTGGTAGAGCACTCGCCTTGAGCTGAAGAGCTGAGGGACAGCGCCCAGGCCCAGAGTTCAAGCCCCACGACCTACAAAAAAAAAAGTTAGTACAAATGGGTTCCTAAAAATTAGAAAAGCTATCTTAAAAAACAAAAGAGCAAAAGGTAGAAGCTCTGGAAATAATATGGGACATATTAAAGTAGGAGACTATAGGTGATTACAAGAATATCTTTTTGTTTGGAGAAGTGAAAGGTGTTGGCTTTGGCTTTGTCGGGAGATTGTGATGAAAACTCAGTTGAAAACTCAGCTGTTTATCACACACAAGTATTGGGAAGCATAGGCTAGGAGAAGAAGTTTGCAACATTATTTCAAGAGAATATGAGCATTTCAGTCATTACAACATTGTTTTGTCTTTTGGACAGATAACATGCCTGGACATTTCCAGTGGAGGAGGCCTTGGTGTGTCTTCTAGTTCTGATGGGAGCATGAAGATCTGGCAGGCTTCAAATGGAGAACTCAGAGTAAAGGACTTGGATACACTTTTAGAAGCTGATTCAGGAAGGGTGGTCTGAGAAACTTTGGATTAGGTGGTGGAAAAGAGTCATTCATAGTAAACATATAGAATCATTGCATTTTGATCTCCATTCTCCCATTTGCTTATCACAGAACCATTCTCATGCTCAGTGACTTACTAGGGATTGATTGTCTTCAGTGGGTGGGTCTATTTCTTCTATGATCACTCACTGTTACACAGTAGCTGCTGGCTTATTAGACTGGATATATAGCTAAGCCTGCAGCCTACACAGAGGGTTTTGTGAATAGTGAAAGAGTCTCCAAGCCTTCAAAGTTTCTAATCCTTAAAACTAGACCTAAGGGTGGCTGTGGAAGTCATGGTATTCAGTGCTACAACATCTTAGTTCAGTCCCGTAAAAGGAAGTCAACAGTCCTTAGAACAATAGTTGATAGACAAATGAAATAAAGTAGTCCTTTGGCCAATCTTTTCTAAAATCCAGCATGTGGGTATAGCATGTAGGTATTTCATAGAAGCAACCAAAGAGAGGGGAGGTGAGAGAATATCAGGGATGAACAAGAAAACTAGCATGGAATTTTCTTTTGTTTTTCCAGAGAGTTTTGGAAGGACATGTGTTTGATGTGAATTGTTGCAGGTTTTTCCCATCAGGCCTTGTGGTTCTGAGTGGGGGAATGGATGCTCAGCTGAAGATCTGGTCAGCCGAAGATGCTAGCTGTGTGGTGACCTTCAAAGGTCACAAAGGAGGTATGAACAATCTTCTCTAATGATCCCCATAGACATGTGACTGAAAGGTAGAAACAGAAGTTAGTTATCACAAATGTACAAGTTATGTGTGTATTTAGATGACCTGATATTTCCCAATGACTAGAAATTCTTTGCTAGTCTTATTACTGCTGTCTAGAACTTAATTGTCTTATACAGATGTTTTCAACAATTGACAAGGGAAAAAAGATCCTTCCAGATTGTCCATGTATGTGCTGAGAGGAAAAAAAAAAAGAAGGGAGAGAAGGAGAAGCTTATATTTTCTTGTGAGTCTTTTGATGACTATAAAAGCTGGTAGTGAATGGCTAGATCACCAGACAGCGGAAATAGAAATCTTGACATCGACTGTTCATTACCATGAGTTTAAATAACAGTTTATATATTTTTTTTTTTTGTCGGTCGTGGGGCTTGAACTCTGGGCCTGGGCGCTGTCCCTCAGCTCTTCAGCTCAAGGCGAGCGCTCTACCACTTGAGCTACAGCGCCACTTCTGGTTTTCTGGTGGTTTATTGGAGGTAGGAGTCTCACGGTCTCTCCTGCCCGGGCTGGCTTTGAACCGAGATCCTCAGATCTCAGCCTCCTGAGTAGCTAGGATTGCAGGCGTGAGCCACCAGTGCCCGGCAACAGTTTATATTTTTATTATTTTTTTTTATTTTTATTTTGCCAGTCATAGTGCCTGAACTTTGGGCCTGGGCATTGTCCCTCAGCTCTTCAGCTCAAGCTTAGCGCTCTACCACTTGAGCCACAGCACCACTTCCAGCTTTTTCTGCTTATGTGGTGCTGAGGAATCGAACCCAGGGCCTCAGGCATGCAAGGCAAGCACCCTACCACTGAGCCACCTTCCCAGCCCCCATCGTGTCATTTTTGCTCAAGCTAAGTTAAAAAAAAAAACAACTTTTTCTCAGCTTCTTGAGTAGCTAGGATTACAGTACCACTCACTTGGGAATCAATTGTGTGTGCCCTCTACGTACGATATTTATACCTTCTTTGCATTGTAAACCTGACTACATGAGAAACTTGTAAGCAGAGATCAAGTTTTCAGTTTTAATATTTTATTTTAATGGTGGGCCAAATTACATAATCTAATAAACATACATATTAACCTTTTAGAATTTGAATGGTTTGTTTTTGTGATTAAAAGTAAACACATAACACTGAGAGGGAATAGAGACATTTGGAGTCTTTTTCCCATGACTGAAGAATTGATAGGTCTAAGGGATCAGAGATACCCTTAAGAGTTTGGGAGTCAAGGAACCACAGTGATCCAGAGGTTCTGAATTCACCCCACTCTGAATGTGGGACCAAGGTAAACTTTTCAGTGGAACAGGCATGACTTCATGATGACCTTAACAAGATATTCCTTCAGTGTCTGCACACCTTTGGGTCACTACAGCTACTGAGCGTGGCCACCATGAGGCTGCTCAGTCTCCTAACATTCTTCTAGTCTCCCTAAGAATACATAAGCCGTCCTCAACTTAGAGTGAATAACAGAAAGTTTGTTAATTTGTTTAAAGTTTTATTCATGCCAGGTACCACTCAGGCCTGTAATCCTGGCTATGCAGAAGGCTGAAATCTGAGGATCATGATTCAAAGCCAGCCCGGGCAGGAAAGTCCGTGAGACTCATCTCAAATAAACCACTCAGAAAACTGGAAGTGGCACTGTGGCTCAAGTGGTAGAGCACTAGCTTTTGAGCTGAAGAGTTGAGGGACAGCGCCCGAGCCCAGAGTTCAAGCCCCAACAACAACAACAAAAAAGTTTGATTCATATACTCGTTCCATTCTCTTTGTTTTTGTGTGAAAGTTTTGGGGTTGGGGGAGGGATTTCTGCAATCTCATAGCCTTGTTTATTTTCCTTTAGAAAAAAGATTTGTATTTAGTTTGAATAAAAATGATGACACCATGTAGGAAAAATGATATGAGGTCAGATGCAGGCTGATGCCTATTAGGTGTTGAATCTATATCCAGTGATTTCAGTTAATAGCCTCAGGGCTAGGATAACCCATTGCCACAAGATAGAGCAAAAATCTGAATCCGTTTCTGAGCAACATGTGTCACTGTGATGACTTCCAAATAATTTCCAAGGGCTTTGTGAGGCTCTTTTTTTTTTAAATTAATCTCTTCGGTTTCTAGATTTTGAAGTATTAGCCAAAGCCACAAACAGTAAGAAAATACAGAATAAATAGTTATATATCTTTACATGTATCATTTTCAATGTTTTCACATGTGGTAACAACATAAGCAAAAGGTAGTGTTGACAGCAACTCAGTCCCTTACTGCCTTGCATATGGATGACATAGGACAACTGAACTGAATAATGTAGTCTGGTGCGTACTAAAGAAAACTACTATAAAGTGAGTGAAGTATCTCTGTGTAGGTCTAAAGTAGCTCATTTGTGAAGAATCTTTTTGGTTTGCTTAATCAAGTCTCTGGCTTTCTTTTGTCTCTAGTATATGAAAACATTATAATGAGAGAGGCAGCATAATAGGTATGGGATCTGGGATAGAAGACAGGCAAATCTTATTTGAATCTTAACTCTACCACTTAGAAAGTACAACCTGGAAAATTCCTTAACTTTTCTGAGCTTTCATTTTCTCATTTCAACTGGAGATAGTTGTATTGAATGAAATAGTTCATATGAAAGATTTAGCATAATCCTTGACATTAACAGTATATAATAAATGTTATTTTTATTTGTCAAATATAAAATTAAGCCAGGCACTGGTGGCTTATGCCTATAATCCTAGCTACTCAGGAAAGTAAGATCTGAGGATTGTGGTTTGAAGTCAGCCTGGGCAGGAAAATCCCTGAGACTCTTATCTCCAATTAACCACCAGAAAACCAGACGTGGTACTGTGGCTCAGAGATGTAGAGCCACTGTGAAAAAAGTCTCAGGGACAGTGCCCAAGCCCTGAATTCAAGCCCTAGAACCACCACCACCAACAACAAGAAGCTTTAATCTCTGCTGGGAAAGTGAGCCTATAATATTTTAATGTATTTGTCAATGTGAAAAGCAGAAACCCTAGGTTTCCTTGGCACAGGCCAAAATTTTCTTAATAGAGACTCAGAAACACAACAAATCAAAGAAGGGTTGGACAAGTGGAATTGCATGAAATTGCAGAGGTTCTGCATGGCAAAGGACATAGCTAGCAAGATCAATAGAAAGCCCACGGATTGGGAGATCTTCACTAGCCATACAACAGACAAGGGTCTCATATCTAAAATATACCTGGAACTCAAAAAATTAAATCCCCAACAACAAATCTTCAAAGAAACAACTGCCCAATGAGAAACAACTCTGAAGAGGAAAGAAGGATGGCCAATAGACGCATGAAGAAATGCTCAACCTCTCTAGCCATAAAAGAAATGCAAATCAAAACAACATTGTGATACCACCTCACCCCAGTTAGAATGGCTATAATCAAGAACTCTAATAACAACAGATGCTGGAGGGGATGTGGACAGAAGGGAACCTTACTGCATTGTTGATGTGAGAGTAAACTTGTTCAACCACTTTGGAAAGTAGTATGGAGGTTCCTCAAAAGACTCCACATAGAGCTCCCCTATGACCCAGCAAAACTAGGTATTTTAATAGCATAAGCTTGTTAAAATATTATATATACATATATACGTATATATGTATATATACACACACACATATGAAACTTGCTGTTTCTTACAGATAGTAATTTTATCTAATATTTTATGTAATATTTATGAATTATATCTAATATTCTTATTTCCTATACAAATTAAAAATGCTTATATGTGGGGCTGGGAAGGTGACTCAGTGGTAGAGTGCTTGCCTTGCATGCATAAGGCCGTAGGTTCGATTCCTCAGCACCACATAAACAGAAAAAGCTGGAAGTGGTGCTATGGCTCAAGTGGTTAGAGCTCTAGCCTTGAGCTGAAGAGCTGAGGGACAGGGCCCAGGCCCAGAGTTTAGGCCCCATGACCAACCAAAAAAAAAAAAAGCTTATATGTGATTCAGTTGAATCTTTTCTTGAAGGAAAATGCTTTTTTTGCCTTGGTTTATATGTTGAAGACTTGTGTCTGGCTGGATGCATGAAGCTTTTCCCCAGCTTTCAGTAGGTCACAGCTGTGCTGTTTCTCTTACAAAGGCATTATGGCAGTTACTACTTTTAAAGCTTCTTTCTAAGCAATTCCTCAGAGAACCCCATTCCTCTAGGGCTCCTTTTTCTTTTATTGCCGTCTGTGAAGAGACTCACACTGGATGCCATTATTTTGTGAGTGACAGTTTTATTAGCAAGAAGGTGACAATTTTCCACTCTACTTTTAGACGAAAGGGAATCTTTCTAAATGGCTGCTCTTTGCTGAGTATTACTTGAAAATTGTACAGTTAATACTATTCACAGTTCCCTAGTCACAACTGTAGCATCCTTGCCTGAGTATATACATTTCAGAATGTTTTCATAGAAAGCTAGTATCACTTCCATGGAATTTACTAACATAGTAACATCTTAAAATAAGGATGGGAACTTGCTGATAAAAACAGACCAGATTTTTTACTCTGTGTGTGTGTGTGTGTGTGTGTGTATGTGAGAGTGTGCGTGCACTCGTGCATGTGTGTATGCGCACACTAACTCTGAAGCTTGAACTCAGGACCTTAGCTTTTTCCCTTGAGGGTGATGCTTTATGACTTGAACCACAGTTTTATTTCTAGCTTTTTGGTGCTTAATTGGAGATAAGAATCTCACATATATTCCTGCCCTGCTGGTTTCAAGCTGCAATCGTCAGTTATCAACCTCCTGAGTAACTAGGATTATAGTACCAGGTGAAAGATGGATTTTAAACTCAAAATGTTTTTTGACCAGTTAAAAAATATCTTGTAAGTAAGAAATACAGCAGAGCACAATGGCTTATATTTGTAATATCAGCTACTTGTAAGAATAGCAGTTTGAGGGGCTGGGAAGATGGCTCAGTGGTACAGTGCTTGCCTTGCATTCATGAGGCCCTGGGTTCGATTCCTCAGCACCACATAAGTAAAAAAAGCAGGAAATGGGGCTGAGGCTTGAGCTGAAGAGCTGAGGGACAGCTCCCAGGCCCAGAGTTCAGGCCCCATGACCGACAAAAAAAAAAAAAAAGAATAGCAGTTTGAGGTCAGCCCAGGCAAAAACTTAGTGCAACCTCTCCCAATTAATAAATGAGCAGTGTGCTTTTGATCCCAGCCAAATAGAGTGTCAGCATCTTCACTTTCTAATACGTATATTTTTTAGAATGTCTAGTCTAGAAAGTCCTTTAAACAGTAGATAAAGAACTGGAAGGACTTTTCTAATCACAGTTGTCAAGTATAAGTATACATGTGTATATATTATATACAACATATTATATATTTCAACATAAATTAATATATTAATATAAAATATATGATACATTATAATATAGATAATAAATATATAATATAGTATATAGCATATACAATATAATAAATATATATAGGATTTAGTGTTATTTTAAGTTGTATTTATTTAGAAAGTTACATTGTAGTCATTATATCTTATTGAGTTACCTTTAACCATATTTTCTCAAATAGACTCTAAATTGGATTTTTTTCAAAAAAAGTCCCCAAGATGGAAAAAGAGTAGAGAAGATGGAGCTGTATAAACAACTCAGTCTCTTTGTAAATATGTACAAAGTATTTCAAAGTGAAATTTCCAGTAAGAGCCTAGAAGTTTGTGGTTAATCATATTGAATTGTCAACCATATGTAGATTGAATTGCTGTAGAGTTTTGTCAAGGTCTTTATATCTGGTCATTTCATCTTAAGTAATGGGAGCAAGGCAAAAATGACTAATTAGCTTAGAGACCTTTGGCCAATTATCCATAAGTACTCAATCTGCAAGTATTTGTTGAGCACTGATTGTCGTGGGGCTTGAACTCTGGGCCTGGGTGCTATCCCTCAGCACTTCAGCTCAAGGGTAGTGCTTTTCCACTTGAGCCACAGTGCCACTTCTAATTTTCTGGTGGTTAATTTGAGGTGAGTCTCATGGACTTTCCTGCCTGGGCTGGCTTTGAACTGGGATCTTCAGAATTCAGCCTCCTGAGTAGCTAGGATTAGATAGAGGTATGAGCCACTAGCACTGGCTAGCTTTTTTTGTTTTGTTTTGTTTTAAAGACAGGATATTGCTATGTAGCTCACACTGGCCTAAAGATGGCTATGTAATCCAAATTGGCCTTAAACTCACAATCCTCCTGCCTCAGCTTCCTGAGTGCTAGTGCATCACCATGCCTGGCTAAAATAGGTTTATTTTTTTTTTTTTTTTTTTTGGGTCCGGTCGTGGGGCCTGAACTCTGGGTCTGGGCACTGTCCCTCAGCTCTTCAGCTTAAGACTAGCGCTCTACCATTTGAGCCACAGCGCCACTTCCGGCTTTTTTCTTTTTGCTTATGTGATGCTGAGGAATCGAACCCAGGGCCTCATGCTTGCAAGGCAAGCGCTCTACCACTGAGCCACCATCCCAGCCCCTAAAATAGGTTTAATAAAATTAAGACTTGTTCTCTTGGATTACCACAGACTGTTCCACCTTTCTATTTGTCACACTATTTGTCACACTATACCACTGTATGTTTTTATGTCCATGAGTATCTCTGCTTTTTTGTGCTGTGCATTCCTAAGACTACAGACCATACAGATGTCAGAAATGGGAAACATGAACATTTTGGATATTATTGGTCTTATTTAATCTTTGTCAGGCAATATGTTGTTGAGGGCTGATTTGAGGACTGAGTGAATGTGTATGTCTAACTTCCTAATGGGCCTCCCCTGACTGTGTTGGCAAAGTGGAACACTGACTCATGCTGCTTCATTGCAGACAGGTGAGATGGAAGGTCAGCTTCCTTCGTCCTGCTGACCCTTCCTAGAGAAAGTGGAACACCAACTTACTTCAACTTGCACCACCCCATTGCTTTCTGGTGCAGTGTATAAGCTCAGTCCTGCTGACTGAACAGGGCAGGGGTTGGGGGAAGCAGTGGGTTGCTTTCTACTATATCTCCTAGCACTGAGTAGAGGTTCGGCTTGCTGTTCCATTCTTCTGACAGTACCTGGCTTTAGCTCTATCAACCCCACTGGGTAGGGAGCTGGAGTGCTGCTGCTTACTTCCATGGGATTACGGTAGAATATGGCATTGTTTATCCTGCTGCAAAGGGGTCTGAGGAGGTTTTGGGGAAGATACAAGCTTTTGTGTTTACATTTGACTAGTTTTTTCCAAGAAAGTATTCTGTTGTTGGGTACATGTTTGTTTGTTTGGTTTTCCTTTTGGTTAGGGCCAACAGATTTTTCTTGGAGTCTTTAAAAATCTGTACCTGTTAACAGTTCTAGCCTATATTCTTCTGCAGTGTCCTGGGCTGTCTGAGAGCTACTTGGGGAAGTCCAGGGAGCTCATTTGCTTCCAGTCTTGAGGTCCCCAGGGAGCTTGACTTTTCACATCTTTCAGAATTGTCTTAGGTCTGTTTAGGAGATGGAGGAGTGAGGATGGCCCGCATCAGCCAGAACAGGAGGTTACTTTCTATTTTTATGATGAGGAGACTAGCCAGGCTTAGTGATGTCCTCCTGTAGCCCCATCCCTTGGTAGACTGAGGCAGAAAGACATCAGATTTGAGGCCAGCCTGGGATACATAGCAGGACCCTGTCTACAAACAAGGGCCGAGGAGGCTAACATTTTAAAGCAATTCTCAGTGTAAGCAGCAAGGTGTTTTGTTTTTTTAAGACAGTGACTTGCAAACTGAATTCTTAAGATGTTGACTTAATTTTTCTATTAAAAAGGGTTTGGGCCAAGTGCTGGTGGCTCAAGGCTGTATTTCTAGCTACTTAAGAGGTAGAGATTGAGAAGATCATGGTTCTAGTCCAGCTCCGGAAAAAGATCACAAGACCTCATCTCAGAAAAAAAAAAAAAAAGCTGGACATGATGATACATGCCTGTCATCCCAGCCATGACAGGAAGTATAAATAGGATCATGGACCAGGAGCATGCCTGGAAAACAATAGCAACAACAACAACAAAAGCAAGACTCTGTCTCAAAAAATAACCAGATGAAAAGCCTGGTTTATATAGAACACCTGCCTAGCAAGCATGAAGCCCTGAGTTCAACCCCATTACTGCCAAAGGGAAAACAAAGGGGTGGGGGTTAATCCAAAAATAAGAATTGAAAACCACTGGTCTTAGGACACTCCAGTGAGTTTTAAATCCAGAGGTTGATTTTATGTGTCTTTCAGCCAGTCTTTGAACCATTGAGAGGCAGGGATTCTATTTGTTTTTCTAGCACTTACAAATGATCAGCATGGCCAGGCGCTGGTGGCTCACACCTGTAATCTTGGCTACTCAGGAGGCTGAGATATGAGGATCGAGGTTCAAAGCCAGCCTGGGCAGGAAAGGCCATGAGACTCTTATCTCCAATAAACCACTCAGAAAACCCGAAATGGCACTGTGGCTCAAGTGGTAGAGCGCTTGCCTTGAGCTGAAGAGCCGAGGGACAGAGTTCAAGTCCCAGGACTGACAAAAACAAAAAAGAAATGCTCAGCATGTTGTGCATGTTAATACATAGTACATGTTTATAAAAAGACTGAATTGTTTACACAGCTTCATCTTCTTTACTCTTTCTTTATCTTGGGGACTTTTTTTAGTCTGAGATTCGTATTTGGTATCTGATGCTTTTGCTTTTTGGTTGGTGCTCTTCCACCTGAGCCATGCCTCTAACCCTGACTTTTTTTCTTTTGACAGGCATCTTAGATACTGCCATTGTTGATCGAGGGAGGAATGTGGTGTCTGGTTCTCGAGATGGAACAGCACGACTTTGGGATTGTGGGCGTTCAGCCTGCTTGGGAGTCATTGCAGACTGTGGTTCTTCCATTAATGGAGTGGCTGTGGGGGCCGCTGACAACTCCATAAACCTTGGCTCCCCTGAGCAGATGCCCAGTAAGTTACCAATTCCTTAAGTTTTTCCCTTTTTTTTTTTTTTTTCTGGTCTTGGGGCCTGAACTCTGGGCCTGGGCACTGTCCCTGAGCTCTTCAGCTCAAGGCTAGCGCTCTACCACTTGAGCCACTGCGTCACTTCTGGCTTTTTTCTTTTTGCTTATGTGGTGCTGAGGAATCAAACCCAGGGCTTCATGCATGCAAGGCAAGCACTCTTCCACTAAGCCACCTTCCCAGCCCAAGTTTTTCCCTTCTTTCCCTCATCCTTTCCTGCTCTGTAACTAGTATTTCTATTTTTCACCATAGAATTACCATTTATTCATATACCTATTATGTTTCTGTCATTTTGAAGTTCACAAAGGAAATTTATGTGATACTCTCTATGTTTGAGTTAGTATGATATAACCGAGTAGATAAAACTAAAAGCCAGGTGCCGGTGGCTCATGCCTGTAATCCTAGCTACTCAATAGGCTGAAATCTAAAGACTGTGGTTCAAAGCCAGCTTGGGTAGTAAAGTCCATGAGACTCTTATCTCCAATTAACCACTAAAAAGCCAGAAGTGAAGCTGTGGCTCTAGTGGTAGAGTGCTAGCCTTGAGCACAAAAATTCAGAGATAGCATCCATACCCTGAGTTCGAGTCCCAGGACTGGCACATAAAAGAAAAAAGAAATCTGTGTGTATTGACAACTTTATATTATTGAACAATAGTGCCTCAATGAGAAATAGAGCATAAATTCTGAAAAATTAATCGGTGAATCACAACCATTGAGTACAGTGTATTAACAGCCATCAGTGACTGCTGTAGGGTACTGCAGCTTGTAGCCTGGCTGTCATTAACATGATTTACCTGTCCTGCAGGTGATCGGGAAGTTGGAACAGAGTCAAAAATGTTGCTGGTGGCCCGGGAAGATAAGAAGCTTCAGTGCTTGGGACTGCAGAGCAGGCAGCCGGCAAGTGGTTCTTATAAGAGCTTTGAAGTCTGAGGACACTAGGTTGTCGGCAAGCTGCTTTAGACACATTTACTTACTCCCTAGGTTCACTTTCCTAAGGAGGCTGCATGGGTGAGGGGAAGTGTAAAGTAGTAGTGAAGAGCTTCAGATTTGGGGCCATATCTAATCAAGGCTCTGCCATTGAACAAGTGACTTTACCTTTCTAAGCCTGTTTCCTCATCACTATACTGGATGTAATAGGTGTTACCTCTTAGGATTATGGGATGATGAAATGCTTTACTGCCTTGTAAGGTTTTTAGGTCACTCTCCTCTTAGGATCTTAGTGTGCTATGTGTAAAGTGATGAGGTTATGTGGATCTTCCTTATAGGTCTTCTGTACTACCTCTGAGGTAATTTGAAGAAATACTTAGGAAGGGGCTCATACATTCAGGGCTCTCAATCAATTGATGAATAGTATGTATTTGAATAGAACTGGGTGGATTTTCTTCTCTCATCCTCTGAGGTTTTGCTAGACAGATTGTGCTCCTAAACTGTCTTCTCTGAGATTAGATTTTCCTTTTTTTTTTTTTTTTGTCAGTTGTGGGACTTGAACTCAGTGCCTAGGCACAGTCCCTGAGTTCTTTTTCTCAAGGCTATTGCTGTACCACTTTGAGCCACAGGTCCACTTCCAGCTTTTGAGTGGTTAACTGGAAAATAAGCATCTCACAGGGACTTTTCTGCCCAGGCTAGCTTCAAGCTGTGATCCTCAGATCTCTGCCTCCTAAGTAGCTAGGATTATAGGCATGAGCCTCTGGTGCCTGCCTGGCTTGTATCTGTTTTTTTTTTTTGGTCTAGTCGTGGGGCCTGAACTCTGGGCCTGGGCACTGTTCCTCAGCTCTTCAGCTCAAGGCTAGGGCTCTACCACTTGAGCCACAGTGCCACTTCCGGCTTTTTTTTTCTGCTTATGTGGTGCTGAGGAATCGAACCCAGGACCTCATGCATGCAAGGCAAGCGCTCTACCACTGAGCCAACTCCCAGCCCCCCCCCCTTTTTTTTTTTGGTCAGTCATGGGACTTGAACTCTGGGCCTGAGTGCTGTCCCTCACCTCTTCAGCTAGCGCTCTACCACTTGAGCTACAGCACCACTTCCGGTTTTCTGGTGGTTTATTGGAGCTAAGAGTTTCATGGACTTTCTTGCCTGGGATTGGCTTTGAACCAGGATCCTCAGATCTCAGCCTCCTGAGTAGCTAGGATTACAGGCATGAGCCACTGGCGCCGGGTGGCTTGTTTCCTTTAGTTTTTGTTTTTTCTTTATTATTTGAAGAGAAAATGATTAGCTTCAGCTAACAGTATGGAATAAGTGAAAACAAAAATAATTTAGTGCAAAGCTCATAGAACTCATAACTGTTATAGACCAGGATAGACAATTTGTCCTATGAAAGTTAGAATGTGTTTATAACTTTAACTAAGCTTCACTATCCCACAATACTGTGAAATTTGGGAAATTATGTAACCACTTAATCACAATAAAAAATTTGAGAAAAAAATAATTTAGTTTTTTAGATACATGGAAAGGAATTGTGATTGTTTAAATTGCCACTTTAAAAAGTTTAAGCATGTTTCTTCTCCTGCAGAGCACCCTCCCCCCCTTTAAAAGGTTGCTAGTAGTGACATTTTACAAAACGTAACTGTTCTGTTGGAATTGTATTTCTCAAATGTAGAGTGGTAATGCAAATGGTATAGAGAAGGCTGCATGTGGTTGCTCACAGCTATAATCCTAGCTACTTTGGAGCAGATTTAGGAGGATTGTGGTCCAAGGCTGGTCCTGGCAAATTTCATAAGATTCTAAAGAATAAATCAAAAGGATGAGGGATGAGGCTTAAGTGGTAGAACATCTTATCTTCCTGGCAAGCATGAAGTGCTGAGTTTAAACATGAGTACTGCCAAAGAGAAAGTGGGGGCTGGGGGGAGGGGGTTTAATGAGAGCACTGAGGGGTGGGAGTGTGAAGACTGCTCAGAGTGCAGTGTGAAATAAACTGCTTCAGCCCTTAGCCAAGCTTCTGGTTGGCTATTGGTGAGAGTTTTGTTTACTAGTCATGAGTGCTTAAAGTGGGGAGGAAGAAAACCTGCCTAAAAATAGTAGAAATTTCCTCCTTTTTGCTTCATGTTTATTCCTGGAAACAAATGCATCTTTAAACAGCTTTTTTGTCTTCTGCTTGTACCCAGGTGTTCCTCTTTGTGGGCTCAGATGCCTTCAACTGTTGTACTTTTCTCTCTGGTTTCCTGCTGTTGGCGGGGACACAAGATGGAAATATTTACCAGCTGGATGTGAGAAGTCCACGGTGAGTCACCCTTCATTTGCATCCGGTGGGTCATCTGCTGAGTGGAATTTTATATTGCCTTTAACATTGATTTACTTTAGCATATAGATGACTTTTGTACTAAAGGTACATTTTGGGCTGGGAATGTGGCTTAGTGGTAGAGTGCTTGCCTAGCATGCATGAAGCCTGGGTTTGATTCTTCAATACTACATAAACAGAAAAGGCCAGAAGTGGCGCTATTGCTCAAGTGGTAGAGTGCTAGTCTTGATCCAAAAGAAGCTCAAGCCCAGGACTGGCAAAAAAAAAAAAAAAGGTGCATTTTTCCATTGATAAGGTTTTCTTACATGAGTTATCTTTATTATTCTTTTTTAAATTTTTTTGGTTGGTTGTGGGCCTGGGCGCTGTCCCTCAGCTCTTCAGCTCAAAGCTAATGGTCTACTACTTGAGCCACAGCACCCACCTCTCACTTTTTCTGTTTATATGGTGCTGAGGAATCGAATTCAGGGTCTCATGCATGCGAAGCAAGCACTCTACTACTGAGCCACCTTCCTAGCCCCAATCTTTTTTTTTTTTTTTCCATATTTTTTTTTTATTGTGAAGATACTATACTGAGGGTTACAGTTACATGAGTGAGGTAATGAGTACACTTCCTCTTGAACATTGTTACCCCCTCCATTGTTTTCCCCCTACCATCCCCTCCCTCCCTCCCTTCCTCGAGGTTCTTTTTTTTTTTTTATTGTGATTAAGTGATTACATAATTTCCGGAATTTCACATTATTGTGGAATAATGATGCTCATTTAAAGTCACAAGTTCATTCTAACTTTCCTGGAGCAAATTGTCTATCACAGTCTGTAACATATAACGGTGTTCACATGTTATACACCATATATGTGATCAGCAGCGTGGGGATATTTAGTAGTGGTTCGACCAGATGAGTGGGAGTTCTTTGTTTCTTAAGTCCTGTTAGTTTTGTCATATCACCTAACATTTTGGATTTAGCATCCACTTATCAGGGAGACCATGTACCGTTTGTCTCTTCGTTCTTGGCTTACCTCGCTCAACCTGATTCCTTCTATCTCCATCCATTTCCCTGCAAATGCCATTATTTTGTCATTTCTAATGGCTGCATAATATTCCATTGTGTATAGATACCACAATTTTTGGATCCATTCATCTGTGGTGGGGTATTTCCATATCCTAGCTATTGTGAACAGTGCTGCAATAAACATGGAGGTGCACGTGTCCTTGTATATTGGTTCCTGTTGTTCAGGGTAGATGCCTAGAAGTGGTATGACTGGGTCGTAAGAGGGGTCAATCTTTAGCTTTCTAAGGACCCTCCAGACTGCTTTCCAAAGTGGTTGTATAAGTGTACATTCCCACCAGCAGTGTAATAGGGTTCCTCTTTTTTTTTTTTTTTTTTTTTTTTGGGGTTCTTTTTTTTTTTTTTTTATTGTAAAGCTACTATACAGAGGGTTACAGTTACATGAGTGAGGTTATGAGTACACTTCCTCTTGAACATTGTTACCCCCTCCATTGTTTTCCCCCTACCATCCCCTCCCTCCCTCCCTTCCCCGAGGTTCTTTTTTTTTTTTTTTGATTGTGATTAAATGATTACATAATTTCAAAGTCACAAGTTCATTCTAACTTCCCTGGAGCAAATTGTCTACCACAGTCTGTAATATATAACAGTGTTCACATGTTATATACCATATTTGTGATCAGCAGCATGAGGATATTTAGTAGTGGTTCAACCAGATGAGCGGGAGTTCTTTGTTTCTTAAGTCCTGTTAGTTTTGTCGTATCACCTAACCTTTTGGATTTAGCATCCACTTATGAGGGAGACCATGTACCGTTTGTCTCTTCGTTCTTGGCTTACCTCGCTCAACATGATTCCTTCTAGCTCCATCCATTTCCTTGCAAATGCCATTATTTTGTCATTTCTAATGGCTGCATAATATTCCATTGTGTATAGATACCACAATTTTTGGATCCATTCATCTGTGGTGGGGCACCTAGGTTGTTTCCATATCCTAGCTATTGCGAACAGTGCTGCAATAAACATGGAGGTGCACGTGTCCTTGTATATTGGTTCCTGTTGTTCAGGGTAGATGACTAGAAGTGGTATGACTGGGTCGTAAGGGAGGTCAATCTTTAGCTTTCTAAGGACCCTCCAGACTGCTTTCCAAAGTGGTTGTATAAGTGTACATTCCCACCAGCAGTGTAATAGGGTTCCTCTTTCTCCACATCCCCTCCAGCATTTGTCGTTGGCTGATTTGTGGATGTGGGACATTCTGACTGGGGTAAGGTGGTATCTCAGGGTTGTCTTTATTTGCATTTCCTTCACCACCAGGGATGATGAACATTTCCTCATGTGTTTCTTTGCCATTTTTATTTCTTCATTTGAGAAGTCCCTCTTTAGTTCCCTTGCCCATTTAGTAATTGGTTTGTTAGGTTTGGGAGGGATTAGTTTCTTGAGTTCCCTGTATATACAGGATGTTAACCCCTTGTCTGATATATTGCTGGTAAATATTTTTTCCCAATTAGTTGGTTGTCTTTCTAGCTTAGTTGCGATAGATTTAGCTGTGCAGAAGTTTTTATTTTAAGGTAGTCCCATTTGTCGAGTCTCTCTCCAACTTGTTGTGATCCTGGGACTCTGTTCAGGAAGTTCCTTCCTGTGCCTATTAGTTCAAGTGTCTCTCCTACTCTGTCCTGCAGTAGTTTCAGAGATTGAGGTTTAATGTTAAGGTCTTTAATCCATTTTGAGTTGATGTTGGTGCATGGTGATAGGCTGGGGTCCACTTTTAGTTTTCTGCATGTGGCTGCCCAGTTTTCTCAGCACCAGCGGTTGAAGAGGCTGTGTTTCTTCCATTGTATATCTTTGGCTCCTTTGTCGAATTCAGCTGGCTGTAGGCCTGTGGATTTGTTTCTGGATCTTCTATTCTGTTCCATTGGTCTTCGGGTCTGTTTTTGTGCCAGTACCATGCTGTCTTTGTTATTATAGCTCTGTAGTAGAGTTTGAAGTTCGGTAGCCCCAATCTTTATTATTCTTATTCCTGGAACATATTGAAAGGTAACTTGATTCCTACTGTCATGGTTGTCCATATGTAATGATTGCTTTGCAAATAAAACAATATTAACTAATATGTCTTTAAAATGATTGTTTAACTTTTAAGGAATTCAGTCATTTTCTCTAAGTTATTAGACTAAAATTAAATTGTTTTAATAATACTGAGGATTGAATCCAAGACCTCATACATGCTGGGCAAGCACTCTGCCACTTAGGCAATTCCCCCAGCTGAATGATTTTTTCTTTTTTTTTTTTTTGTCGGTCGTGGGGCTTGAACTCTGGGCCTGGGTGCTGTCCCTCAGCTCTTCAGCTCAAGGCGAGTGCTCTACCACTTGAGCTACAGCGCCACTTCCAGTTTTCTGGTGGTTTATTGGAGATAGGAGTCTCACGATCTCTCCTGCCCGGGCTGGCTTTGAACCGCGATCCTCATATCTCAGCCTCCTGAGTAGCTAGGATTACAGGCGTGAGCCACCAGCGCCCGGCGATCTTTTCTTTTTCTTGGAGTTTTGAACTCAGGACCAACCTTGAGCTTGCCAGGAAGGTGCTCTACTGCCAAGTCCAGACTTCAGCCCTTTTTGCACTGGTTATTTTGAGATAGGGGTCTCACTTCCTGCCCCCAACATATACCTGACCACAATCTGACTGCATTCCCCACAAAACAAGAATAATGGTTGTGTGCCACCATATCCAGCTATTGGTTGAGAAACAGTCCAGATTTTTTTTTTTTTTTGCCTAAGTTAGCCTTCATCCCTCATCCTTCTCATTACAACCTCCCAATTATCTAGGATTATAGATGGGAGCCTCCAGCACGCATTTTCAATTCAAGTAAGCTGGCCTGTTTCCTACTTAGTTTTCTTTTTTGCCATTCTTGGAGCTTGAACTCTGGGCCTGAGTGCTATCTCTGAGCTTTTTTGCTCAAGGCTAATGCTCTACTACTTCAGCCACAGCTCCAGTTACAGCTTTTTGTAGTTAATTGAAGATAAGAATCTCATGGAGTTTCCTGCTCAGGCTGTCTTTGAACTGTGAATTTCAGATCCCAGGCTCTTGTATAGCTAGGATAACAGGCATGAGCCTCTGGTGCCCGGTTCCTATTTAGTTTTGATCATTACTTAGCTGACACAGGCCTTATCATGATCTTATAGCTCAAAGAGAATCACATACCTCTCTGTTGCAAGATTTAACAGATTCTATGAGTCTGTCCCTACCTTCTTATATTTCCTTCCTAATACTAAATTCCAACTAACACTTATTGAATGGCTTCTGTGGACACCATTTTTATCTTTTGTTTTAATATTTCATAACTAGTCTTAATTCTGTCTTTAGGTAAAAAAGGTTAATATATTATTAACAATGTTATCTTCAATCCATGTCATATTCCCCTAAAAACTTAAGATTTTAGTGGTAACTTAGTTCATGTTTAGAGACACATTTAGATTCACTCCAGGGTGGTTTTAAATTACTTTGATTTCAGTTAAGAATCTTGCCAGGAAATAAATCATATGTAGAGTTTTAATCTCTGTCTACATTTGTTCTGTTTCCTTTTATGTGATTAGTACTATATGCTAAATACATAGTCAAGCACTGCTTTCAATGAAAAGTAAAACATCCTTTTTATTCTGTTAGGGCTCCAGTGCAGATCATTCACAGATCAGGAGCTCCAGTTCTGTCCTTGCAGAGTTTCAGAGATGGATTCATTGCTTCCCAAGGTAAATCCAGGGACCAAGTGAAAGTTCCATCTTGTTCACTTAAATTAACATAGTTTTATAAGTTTTTGTTTATGGTACTGAGTATTGAACCTAGAACCTTGTTCATTCTGAGCAGGGGCTCTACCACTGAGCCACATCACAACCCCCTTTTAATTTTTTAAATTTTGAGACAGAGTCTCACTTACTTGCCCAGGAAACATACTATCTTCTTGCTCAGGCTCCTGAGTAACTGAGGTTATAGTCATAACATACATGGATGGCTGCTAAACATAGGGAATTTTTTTTCTTTTTTTCCTTTTGTTTTTGCTACTGGGCCAGGGTCTTTTTTGTTTGTAGCAAGTACTCTTACCACTTGAGCAATGGATCCAGCCCAATTTTTTGCTGATTAGTTAGAAACAGAGTCTTTTGAACTTTTATGCATAGGTTGATTTCAAACCTCAATCTTCCAGGTCTCAGCCTCTTGAGTAGCTCTAGCTACTACTACAGGTGTGAGCCACCAGTGTCCAGCTTTGTAGCATAACATGTTCTTGATCATATAAATATAATAAAAAATTATTAAGAAGACTGGAAGAGCTGGGAGCCAGTGGCTCAAACCTATAATCTTTTTTTTTTTTTTTAATGGTAGTGGGACTTGAACTCTGGGCCTGGGCTCTGTCCCTGAGCTCTTCAGCTCAAGGCGAGCACTTTACCACTTAGCCACAGCACCACTTCCAGTTTTCTGGTGGTTACTTGGAGATAAGAGTCTCACAGATGGGGCTGGGAAGATGGCTCAGTGGTAGAGTGCATGCCTTGCAAGCATGAGGCCCTGGGTTCGATTCCTCAGCACCACATAAACAGAAAAAGCCGGAAGTGGCACTGTGGCTCCAGTGGTAGAGCGCTAGCCTTGAGCTAAAGAGCTGAGGGACAGTGCCCAGACCCAGAGTTCAGGCCCCATGACTGGCAAAAAAAAAAAAAAAAGAGTCTCACAGATGTTCCTACCTAGGCTGACTTTGAACCGTGATCCTCAGATCTCAGCCTCCTGAGTAGCTAGGATTACAGGTGTGAGCCACCGTCACCTGGCTTCAAACCTATAATCTTAGCTACTCAGGAGGCTGCGATACAAGGGTGGTAATACAAAGCTAGCCTGGGCAGGAAAGTCTGTAGACTCTTTTTTTTTTTTTTTTTTTTTGGTCATGGGGCTTGAACTCTGGACCGCTTAGGTGTTGTCCCTGAGCTCTTCAGCTCAAGACAAGTGCTCCACCATTGAACCACAATGCCACTTCCAGTTTTCTGGTGGTTAATTGGAGATAAGAGTCTCACAGAGCCGGGCGCTGGTGGCTCACGCCTGTAATCCTAGCTACTCAGGAGGCTGAGATCTGAGGATCGCGGTTCAAAGCCAGCCCGGGCAGGAGAGACCGTGAGACTCCTATCTCCAATAAACCACCAGAAAACCGGAAGTGGCGCTGTAGCTCAAGTGGTAGAGCGCTCGCCTTGAGCTGAAGAGCTGAGGGACAGCGCCCAGGCCCAGAGTTCAAGCCCCACGACCGACAAAAAAAAAAAAAACAAGAGTCTCACAGACTTTCCTGCCTAGGCTGGCTTTGAACCACAATCCTCAGATCTTAGCCTCCTGAGTAGGTAGGATTACAGACGTGAGCCACCAGTGCCTGGCGTATGAGACTCTTATCTCTAATAAACTACCAAAAATCTGGAAGTGGTAGAACATTAGCCTTGAGCAAAAAATGCTCAGGCCCTGAGTTCAAGCTCCAGAACTGGCAAATGCACCCCCCCCCCCCCCCCCCCCCCGCCAAAGATTTGAAGAATGTATCAAACAGTTGTAGAGGTAAGTTATGGGTGATTTATTATCTATTTTCTTTTTTTAGTGTTTTTTTAATAATGTGCTATTTTTATATTAACTACAAAAATAACTTTATTAGTGTTTATAGCCTATACCAAGTTTCATTTTTTCCATGCACTTCTAAGAAATTTAATATTAGGTATATTTTATTTTTTCCCTGTGGTTCTGGGGATTGAAGCCATATCTTGTATGCCAGGCAAATACTCCTCTACTGAGCTACATCCCAGCTCAATATTAGACCAAAACCAACGAAACAAACAAACAAAAAACAAAAGAGCCAGGTGCTAGTGGCTCACGCCTGTAATCCTAGCTACTCGGGAGGCTGAGTTCTGAGGATCTCGGTTCAAAGCCAGTCTGGGCAGGAAAGTCTGTGAGACTCTTATCTCCAATTAACCACCATAAAACCAGGAGTGGCACTGTGGTAGAGCACTCACCTTAAGCTGAAGAGCTGAGGGACAGCTCCCAGGCCCAGAGTTCAAGCCACATGACTGACAAAAATAACAAACAAGCAAACAAACAAAAAACTAAAAGGTTAGCTAGATATGTATTTTCTTGGTAAAACTTTCCTCTTTCTCCTAGTGTATATAGAACCAAGTTTATAACTTGAGGGAATAATTTGGTTGCAAATTAAAGAAAACATTTATGTAAGAAGTTCCTTATTTGAAAACACTGTCAAGGATGTTTGCAAATAGATATGTAAGCTTGCAGTTGCCTATTGTCTTTGGCAGGTACTGCAAATCAAGAGAGCCCTTCTTTCCATTGACTTTGTACTTGATCTTCAAATCCTCCTAACTCAGCATTATAAGTAGCTGCTATAGATTTTCATAGTTGGCCCACATAGTAAGATTTACTTGATATTTCACATTTTAGGATCATCTTCTTAGGCTAGTAACATACCTACATAAATAAAAATATTTAATCCCCCCCTCCAAAGATTTAATTTTTTAAAGCCTATGTGATGCAACATTCTTAGTAGTAATCTGTCTTTCTGTATTTTAGGTGATGGAAGCTGTTTCATTATTCAGCAAGATTTGGACTACGTCATTGAGCTTACTGGGGCTGACTGTGACCCTGTGTACAAGGTACAGTCCTGATAGGACCTCAGGCCTTGGTGATCCTCACTTGGGATCTAGGCCTTTGAAGGGGCTTAATTGGGCTGCCTTATATTATTAGGGATGCTAAAGTACTGCTTACTGTATAGTATAAGCAGTTTAATCAAAACCTTTATTTATTGATTTTTTTACTTAACATCTTGGAGCTTTTCCCAGGTAAATGTATATAGTGTTCTGTATAGTGTGTTAATGTAGCATTTCAATTTTATAAAAAAGGAAATGGGCTCAAAAAGATTGAAGAGGGCTGGGAATGTGGCTCAGTGGTAGAGTGCTTGCCTAGCATGCATGAAGCCCTGGGTTTGATTTCTCAGCACCATATAAACAGAAAAAGCTGGAAGTGGCGCTATGGTTCAAGTGGTAGAGTGCTAGCCTTGAGCAAAAGAGGCTCAGGGACAATGCCTAGGCCCTGAGTTCAAGCCCAGGCCTGGTTAAAAAAAAAATTGAGGAAATTGCTGCAACATGGTCACAAACTGAGTTAGACTAATTCCAGAATGCATGCATAATGTTACTGTTCTTTGAGAAGCTAATGAGATCCTCCTCAGGGAAAAAAAGGCATATATTCATAACTTTGGGGGGTTTTTTTTGTTGATGTAGTTGGTTGTGGGGCTTGAACTCTGGGCCTGGGTGCTGTCCCTCAGCTCTTCAGCTCAAGGCAAGCACTCTACCACTTGAGCCACTTCCAGTTTTCTGGTGGTTAATTGGAGATAAGAGTCTCAAGGACTTACTGCCTGGGATGGCTTTGAACCACGATCCTCAGATCTAAGTCTCCTGAGTAGCTAGGATTACAAGTGTGAGCCATTGGCGCCCCGTAGAACTTTGTTTTAACATAAGTTTCATGAGGTTCAGGGGACACTAGCTCATATGTGGACATTATGGACCCTTTACACTAAAGCATGCATAGCACTAATAAGCTTGCATACCACTTATGCCAGTTTGTTTCTCTATTCTCTAGTCATGAGTGCATCCTTGACCAAGCCCAGAAATGTTGTAAATACATATTGTAGATGTAATCTTCTTTTCCTTTGGAGTCAATAAATTTCTTAGACTCCCTTGGACTATGAGGGCAAGGCTCCATCTCTTCAAGATGAATGAATTCAGACTTTCTTGTTTCAGGTAGCCACATGGGAGAAGCAGATCTACACATGTTGTCGAGATGGTCTTGTGCGACGCTATCAGCTTTCTGACCTCTGAGCCTTTTGATGGAGAAGTTCTAGTTGGTGAACAGGATCAACCATGAGCAGAAGCATCAGTCCTCCCCAAGTTCTGTGGCCCCCTAGTGTCTGTCTTCAGCACCCATAGGAAGTCACATCATGTGGGCTGCTCTAACACATGTGGAACTCTCATTGCTCTGAACGGAGTAAGACGCTCACGTGTGCTCACTGCCTCTGCCCCAGCTTCTTCTGTGTAAACGCACCCACAACAGGGCAAGGATCTGGAGACTTACAGTTTGTTCTTAAACTAGTCGTATTAAATGTTTACAAGGAACAGAGGCCTGGTCTCTGGAAGAAATAAAGAATATGTGTTTGTAGAAGCATGAATTTGGAAAACTTAATTACATTCTTTTACTCCCACAAAAAGCCAGTCCTTCCTCAGTGGTCCCTGTTGGCTGGCCCTAGAGTAGGCTATTTGCAGTAACAGTGATACCCTGTAAACAGAAACCCAGTATGTGTGTGGGGGGGGGTGTCTTAGATTGTTAGGACAACCAAAATCGAGACAGTCCCAGGTAAACTGCCATAGTTGGTCAGCTTCTCCATAGATGAGGAAGTCCAGTCATAATCATTGTAAGTAGGTGGCTTATCAAAGTGGCGGGTTCTGAAACTGGTTATCAGTGTCATCCAGTTGTTAGAAATAGAAATTTGGGGGCCCCATCCCATCAGAAAGTCTATGGGTCTTACCCAACACTGTATATGCTAACAAAACCCTTTGGGAGATTCCAATACATGCTCTAGGGCTGAGAATTGTGACCTAGAGGAGGAGATGGTGAAGGGCACTTCAGTTAGATCTGTACCCCAGGGCTCTTAGGATGTGGCCTGGTGAGTATGTGATGAGGCTGGCAGGACCTACGCAGTGGAGGAGCTTTGGTGTTGAGTGAGGAGCTATCAGCAGTGGGGAAGCACTTTAGTTTTAGGCAAAGGAATAGCATCGTCATCTCTTCTCCCTAAAAGTGCAATTGTATATATTCCATGTTTTTTTTTTTCACTTCGTCTCTGAGTTCTTTCCATCTCAGGACATTCACAGCTTCATTCTGTTTAATAATGTCCTGAATATGGATACTATAGTATTTGTGTTTTAGAGATTATTAGAAAAAGGGTTCTTTTTTTTTTTTGGTCCGGTTGTAGGGCCTGAACTCTGGGCCTAGGCACCGTCCCTCAGCTCTTCAGCTCAAGGCTAGCGCTCTACCACTTGAGCCACAGTGCCACTTCGGCTTTTTTCTTTTTGCTTATGTGGTGCAGGGCCTCAGGCATGCAAGGCAAGCGCTCTACCACTGAGCCACCTTCCCAGGCCAGAAAAAGGGTTGTTTTTTTTTTCTTTTTTTGGGGGGGGGTCCGGTCGTGGGGCCTGAACTCTGGGCCTGAGCACTGTCCTTCAGCTCTTCAGCTCAAGGCTAGCACTCTACCACTTGAGCCACAGCACTACTTCCGGCTTTTTTCTTTTTGCTTATGTGGTGCTGAGGAATCAAACCCAGGGCCTCATGCATGCAAGGCAAGCACTCTACCACTGAGTCACCTTCCCAGCCCCAGAAAAAGGGTTCTTGAAGGCAGGATGCAACACTTGGAAGTGCTGGGCCATACAGGCTAAGAGTGATTTACCCAAGGGAAGAAGGTTATTCCTTGGTTGGGGTATGGTAGAGCTGATAGTTTTGTTTGTTCCCTCATCCCCTCTCTTCCCTGCCTCTCTGTCTCTCTTTTTTTCTTGTTCTAACCCTGGGGCTTGAACTCAGGGCTTGGGCACTAGTCCCTGAGCTTTTGTGCTCAAGGCTAGGGCTCTATCACTGGAGCCACAGTTCTACTCCCAGCTTTTTGGTGGTTAATTGGAGATAAAAGTCTCATGGACTTGCCTGCCCTTTCTTACCCTTTCCTGCCCAAGCTATAATCCTCAGATCTCAGCTTCCTGAATAGCTAGGGTTACAGGTGTGAGCCACTGGTCCCAGCTCTAATGTTTCCTTTTTTTTTTTTTTTTGGCCAGTTCTGAGCTTGAACTCAGGACATGGGTGCTGTCCCTCTTTGTGCTCAAGGCTAGTGATCTACCACTTGAGCCACAGCATCACTTCCGTTTTTTTTTTCCTGAGTCATTTATTGGAAATAGTCTCATGGACTCTCCTGCTGGCTTTGGCTTCAAACCATGATCCTCAGATCTCAGCCTCCTGAGTAGCTAGGATTACAGGTGTGAGCCACCAGCACCCAGCTTATTATTTTCTTTTAGAAACAAAATAATGCCAAGAAATTTTTACACCTGTTAAGGAATACTATATTTGTTTCTTACTAATCCAAAAGTGAAGTGAATTAATATTTGGCCATACTGATAGTTGATTTACACAAAGGGAAATCACTGAGTTCAAAAATACATAAATCCTTGGGCTGGGAAGGTGGCTCAGTAGTAGAGCGCTTGCCTTGCATGCATGAGGCCCTGGGTTCGATTCCTCAGCACCACATAAGCAGAAGAAGCTGGAAGTGGCACTGTGGCTCAAGTGGTAGAGCGCTAGCCTTGAGCTGAAGAGCTGAGGAACAGTGCCCAGGCCCAGAGTTCAGACCCCACGACGGACAATAAATAATAATAATAAAAAAAAATGTAAATCCAAGTTTTCATTGCCAACTTTAAGATAAGAACTTAAACTTTCAAAACAAACAGGATGAGGGTGGATATGGCTGAATGCACACAGCAAGAGACAGTCTAAGTTCACCCCAGGGTTCTTTCCTGTGTCACATTCTCAAGCCCTTTTTCATAGGTTTCCAGAGTTGGCATTCTGGTTGTGAAACGTAGGGACCCCTCCACAGCTGCTCTGAACTCCTGGCCCAAGAGGAGTAGAGGCTGGCTCACAGGTGCTGCATAGCTTTGTCTATTGTGAATGTAAGGATCCTTGTCAGCAGAGAGCATGCTTTTCCTTTGGGACTGAGGAATGCATTCTGGGTAAGAATGGACATTTGCAGCATCTCAGGCCAGTGAACGGCTGCACTGGGCCTTGTTTCTTGGTTTTGGATGCCCCCTTGTGACGCTGGCAGAGAAGTACTTCTGTGTCTAAGTCCTAAAGGGCTCACAATGGCATCAGCAACCAAATTGCACATGTAGTGTCACATACACACCACACAATAAATCAGGTTCATTTTTTAAAAATGTATCTCCTTGTGCATATATTTTATATTCCTTATTTCACCTTATTTATTTCTTGATGGTACTTGGGTTTGAACTGAAGGCCTCATACTTGTTAAGCAAGTAGTCTACTTCCTGAGCCATGCCCCAAACCCAGCTCTACTTAAAGGCTGAGGATCCCAATATGAAGCCAGCCTTGGCAGGAAAGTCTGTAAGACTGATCAATTCACCACCAAAAGGCTGGAAGTGGATCTGTGGCTCAAGCAGTAGAACAATAGCCTTGAGCAAAAAAAGCTCAGGAACAGCAACCAGGCCCTGAGTTCAAGCCCCAGGATCAGCACCCTTGTCCTCTACAACTAGGAATCTGAATAAAATAGGTACTTTAGTTACTAAGAAGTGTCAATATTGGTCATTTTTTGTGACAAATGAGATGTTAATAGGGGAAATTAGGTGTTGTATATATAGAAACTGCTATCTTCACAATTTTTCTGAAAATGTAAAGCTATTCTAAAATGTAAAAAAAAAAAATTCAAGAGCTGAGTGCCTGTGGCTCTTACCTGTAATCCTAGCTACTCAGGAGGCTGAGATCTGAGAATTGTAGTTCAAAACCAGCCCAGGCAGGACAGTCCATGAGACACTTATCTTGAATTAACCACCAGAAAACTGGAAGTGACAGTATGGCTCAAAGTGGTAGATAGGGGCTGGATAGGTGGCTCAGTGGTAGAGCACTTTGCCTTGCATGCATGAGGCCCTGGGTTCGATTCCTCAGCACCATATAAGCAAAAAGAAAAAAGCTGTAAGTGGCGCTGTGGCTCAGTGGTAGAGCGCTAGCCTTGAGCTGAAGAGCTGAGGGACAGCGCCCAGGCCCAGAGTTCAGGCTCCACGACCAGACCCAAAAAAACAAAACAATCAAAGTGGTAGACAGAGCACTAGCCTTGAGCGAAAAAGCTCAAGGACAGCGCCTAGGCCCTGAGTTCAAGCCCCACAACCAACAAAATTAATAAAATTCAAAAAACTTCAAAAATCAACTAAAAACAATTGTGAAAAAATTTTTCTTTTTTTTTGGTTATGGAGCTTGAACTCTGGGCCTGGGCGCTGTCCCTCAGCTCTTCAGCTCTACTACTTGAGCCATAGCATCACTTCCGGTTTTCTGAGTGGTTTATTGGAGATAAGAGTCTGCTGGACTTTCCTGTCCAGGCTGGTTTTGAACCGTGATGCTTAGATCTCAGCCTCTTGAGTAGCTAGGATTACAGGCATGAGCCACCAGTGCCCAGCAAAAAAATTTTAAAAGTGGCTGCTGTACATCTTAAAAATAAAACAAAATGGGGCCTTGTGACTCTCCAGTTTTCAGTTGATTGACCTTTAACAGAGTCATACAACTAGCTTCAATTTTCCCTGTCATTTTATTCCTCTTAACTGAGAGTCCAGAAAGGGGTTCACTTAAGGACTACACCTCCCAGAGTGCCCCTGGGTGGTTGTCAGGGGCAACCAAGGAATGCAGACTAACAGCTTTGCTGGAGCCTGAGGACTACCTCTACTACTTGCTGCCAGACAGCCATGGGTCAGGATTACTACTCTGTGCTCCAGATCACTCGAAATGCAGAAGATTCTCAGATCAAGCAGGCGTAAGTTTGGTGGGAGCCAGTCCTTGGGGCTGTGCTAAGGTAGCCCCCACCCTCATCCTTTCCAACCCAACTTTTCCTGCACAGCTCAGGGCAGGCAAGGTGAACTGTGCTCTTTCTCTTGCTTCTTGCTTACTTAATTCTGTCTTTGGGCTGAGATTCAGATATCTTAGTTTCTCACTCAGTTCCTTGCACTTTATGCTCTATGCCCTGTTGCTTCTCATAGGTGCCGGCATTTTCCCAGCAAAAGAATGAGGACAAATGAGCCATTTGAATGGTATCCTGAGTTGTTTGTTTACAGCACTGGTGATTAAACTCAGGACCTTCTGCTTTCTAGATAGGGACTTTGTCAGTTGAATCAAGTCTCTGGTTCTATCCTGAGTCCTGTGGAGAGCAACAGGATTGTGAACAAGGGAAGGTTCTGACCAGATGGATGAGTTAAAAATCCATTCTGGCCATCATATGGGCTTGATCATTTTCTAAACTCTATCTCTGAAATCCTCCATCAAGTCTCAGAACTTTAAAGGTCCAGCCCTAAGAAAGTCTAGGACAGGAGTCAGCACACTTCTAAAAAGATTCTTGTTTGAGTTTTTTCTTTGAAAAAGAAATCAAAGAATATTTATTGAGTACCAGCCATTTGTGTTTGCTACAGAGAAAGCTAAAGACACAACTAACTCAAATAGATACCTCCCCTGTCCTGAAGCAGCTTCATTTTGTTGGTGAATACAGAGGTTAAGTCACTGCAACCCTAATGGATGTTGCAAAAGGGAAAGTACATGGTGCCTAGAAGCTTCTATTGGAAAAATACATGGTGTCTGGAAGGGAAACCTTTAAGGAGGCTGTTCTGGTAATTAAGTACAAAGATGGGGCTTGAAGGAGAACTGTGGCTCTTAAGGAGAGGAGAGAGTAAACTTGGCAATCAAAGGTCATTGGAAGAAGAAAAGGAAGAAAGAAGACTTAGTTGAGGTTGGGTAGTATACTAGCTGTACTTCTCAAAGGCATAGGGGATGCTCTGAGAACCTTCTGTCACAAACTCATTCAGTCCTCCTTATGATCCCGAGAGACCGACACCGTTGTCATCCCATCAGCATGCACAGTAAAAGGCAGACTGTAGACTGACGCTATCATGGGCTTGTCCCTGGGCCAGGTCCTGCAAGAGTCTTAGTGGGGCAAACGGAGAGAGATTACAATGTGGCTTGGAGAAACAAGACATAAATTCATGAAACAGTTTTAGACGGCATATGATGTTGATCTGCTGATCAAGGCATCACATTGCCTAATGAGACTTTTCAAGGCACAGTTTTCCTGGAAGAAGAGCATTGGAAGGCTGAGGCCTGAATCTCTGACCTGCTAGTTGTGTGACATGGAGAAATTATTTAACCTCTGTGAGCCTCAGTTTCTCATCTTTTAAAAAAGGAGGAGGGAGCCAGCACAGGTGATTCTTACCTGTAATCTTAGCTACTTAGGAGACTGAGGGCTATCTCAGTTTGAAGCTAGTTGGGGCAGGAAAGTCCTTGGCACTCCTATTAACCACAAAACAAACAAGTCAGAAGTACAGGTATGGCTCAAGTGGTAGAGCACCAGCCTTGAACAAACAATCTAAGGGACAACGCCCAGGCTCTGAGTTCACGCCCCAATACCAGCACAGAAATTAATAAAATAAACTTAAAAAGAGTGAGGGAGTTGTGATATTGAGTAGGATTAGATGAGACAATTTATGTGAAAATGGACAGAAAACATTTGCATATGAAATCATGTCATATGAAGATTCTTTAAAAACTGCATAGGTTTCAAACAACAGCCCTAAGCTGGGCGCCGGTGGCTCACGCCTGTAATCCTAGCTACTCAGGAGGCTGAGATCTGAGGATTGCGGTTCAAAGCCAGCCCGGGCAGAAAAGTCCGTGAGACTCTGATCTCCAATAAACCACTAGAAAACTGAAAGTGGCACTGTGGCTCAAGAGGTAGAGTGCTCGCCTTGAGCTGAAGAGCACAGGGACAGTGCCCAGGCCCAGAGTTCAAGCCCCACGACCGACAAAAAAATACAAAAAAAACCCAGCCCTTAACTCTCTTCTCTTGTAAACTGGTCAGGCATGAATCTCACCATGTTTGATACCCTCTTTTGAGAGTACCTAGATTTTGGCAAAAACAAACAAAAAAACCTACAACATAACAGAACAACAAAAAAGCTGAACTTCTACAAGGAGGAAAACCATAATGACAAGTCAGTATAACCCCAGCTATCAGTAACTCAGTATCATTCATTCACCTTTTTTTTTTTTTTTTTGGCTGTACTAAAGCTGTATTGAACTAACTTGTACTAAAACCTGTACTTGAACTCAGGGCCTTGCCCCTGGTAAGGCAGGAGCTTTACAACTTGAGCCATGCCTCCACCTAGCCATTTTCTACTTTGTTATTTCTTAGTAGGAGGTCCAGTTTTTTGCCTGGGGCTGGTCTTGAACTGTGAACCATCTACGGCCTCCTAAGTAACTGGGAACAGTTGTAAACCACCAAGATCCTTGTTGGAGATGGGGGTTTCATTAACATTTTGCTTATGTTGCCCTCAAAAATCACAGTCCTTCCAGTCTCTGCCTTCTGAGTAGCTGGGACTCATTCATTCTTGAGTGGCCACTGCACTTCCTGCCCTCCCATTCAGGGAAGCAGATGGACGCAGAGCAAGACATTCACTCATACTGAGCATGACAAAATTGGAGGTGAGAGGTGGAGATATTTCAAGTCAGCTTGACCCTGTTGCTTTCACTTACGGATAGAATTTAATTGTGATTCTCTTCACAACTAACTGCGACCTTTGAAGAAGACTGGGACAACTATCTCCAAGTCTCTGGAGGTTGATGGGGAAGAGCTTTCTGTAAGTTTCCCAGGGGCTAATCCAGGACTCTTGTAGGAAGAGTTAAGGATAGCAGACGCAGCTGTGTAAAATCAGCCTTCCACAGTGACACAGACTGCCTGAAGGAGAGTGAGCTTATGTCATTCTTTCACTCACCCCTGCTCACCTCTCGCACTAGGGCCATGAAGAACTGGGTACAATGACTCCAGGACTTCACAATAGTGGGAGGGATAACCTATAAGCAGACAGCTGGAGTACAGCATGCTGAGTCCTGAGATCACAGGCTCTGAGGATTTGGATACTAAAGTCTACTTTAGAATGACAACTAGGGGCTGGGAAGGTGGCTCAGTGGTAGAGCGCTTGCCTTGCATGCATGAGGCCCTGGGTTCGGTTCCTCAGCACCACATATGCAAAAAGAAAAAAGCCGGAAGTGGCGCTGTGGCTCAAGTGGTAGAGTGCTAGCCTTGAGCTGAAGAGCTGAGGGAAAGCGCCCAGACCCAGAGTTCAGGCACCACGACCGGACCAAAAAAAAAAAAAAAATACAATAGAATGACAACTAGGACCCCACAGTCAGGGGAGGATCCTGAAGGAGTTACCTCTGTAATGAAACGTTGAAGAGTGAACTTTTAAAAAGGCCAGGGGTTAGGCTCTAGTGGTTTACACCTGTAATCCTAGCTACCCAGGAGGCTGAGATCTAGAGGATCACAGTTGGAAGTCAGCCCAGGCAGAAAAGTCCTAGAGACTCCATATTCAAAATAACCAGCAAAAAACAGTTCTGAGGACATGGCTTGTGTAGTAGAGCACCAGCTGAGCAAATTGAAGCCCCAAGTTTTTGTTTTTTTGGGGGGGGGGTCCGGTCGTGGGGCCTGAACTCTGGGCCTGGTTACTGTCCCTCAGCTCTTCAGCTCAAGGCTAGCGCTCTATCACTTGAGCCACAGCGCCACTTCCGGATTTTTTCTTTTTGCTTATGTGGTGCTGAGGAATTGAACCCAGGGCCTCAGGCATGCAAGGCAAGCGCTCTACCACTGAGCCACCTCTCCAGCCCCTGAAGCCCCAAGTTTCAATTCCAGTTCTGGTGTGTGTGTGGGAGTTGCTAGAAGAAAGGTCAGGGGATGTGACTCAGGTTGTAGAGTCCCTGTCTGGTACTTAGATTGTAGAGACCCTGAGAAATGGGGGCGTGGGACTTGAATCTTAGAGTGAAACTTTTCTTAATGTTTTCTGATGACAATGAAGAATCAAGAAGGCTTTCAGAAAGACAGTGAAATGATCCAAGTATTTGGGATGGGAGTGAGGGAGGGAGAGAAAATTCAAACCATTGGCAGCACATAAAATGCATTGGTTTGGAAAAGGTTCTGTGTGTGTGTGTGTGTGTGTGTGTGTGTGTGTGTGTGTATGTCCCTGCGCATGCCAATATTGGGGCTAGAACTCAGGGTCTGGGGGCTGTCTCAGCTTTTTCATCAGGTAAGGCTGTGTAGATTTGAACTAAGGCTGTATAGCTTAAGAGCATGGGCTAGATATTTCTTGTTACTCCCGTCAACCTCCAACCTCCTTTCCACCTGCCCTGCAGGCAACATGTTCCCACCACTTCTGCAGATTCCTCTGCCTGAGAGCCTCCTGTGCACCCTGCTAAAGGAGGAGCAAAAGGGTCAGGAGGGAGTAGAGTGGGTTTGCCGTCTTTATTCCCCAGTTCCCTCCTTTGGAGACTCTTTAGGGTGCTTGTGTCCAACTGAAGATCTCTCCTCCTGCCAGGGCCCTGTCTGCACACTCCTTCCAGGGCTCAGTACCACTGTCCACCTCTACTCTTGCAGGCCCAGGTCAGGTGGCCCTGGGAGCGCCTCCCTGGGGTATTATGCTGTCCCTAATGGTCTTCTTCCCCTTTCCTGTGCCTTGGTGAAAATCCCTTTAATCAGCCCACATATCATCCAGTTCATGCCACCTCTTCCCTCCTGGGATACTGCCAGTATCGGCCACTGGATGCTAATGGGACCGGCAGCGCCTCTCTCTACAGCTAGTTATCCTCCCTCCTCCTCCTCCTGCTCCTCCTCCTCCTCCTTTTCTTCCTCCTCCAGCTCCTTTTCTTTCTCCTCCTCCTAGCTGGTGTGTCTGTTCTAGTCCTCTGAGAAGCAGGCACAAAGACCAGATTAGACATGCGCAGAACATGTCAGGGATCCCATGAAAGATGAAGGGGAAAGTGTCTCTTGACCACAGTACAGGAAGTAGGCATGGGAGAGTTGGGTAGAAAGGACTGCAGAGTGGCTTGAGAGAATCTCAGTCAGATTGCGAAGAGCCCTCAAGCCAAAGTTGTCTATTGGAGGTTTAAATATCTTCTCCCAGAAGGCTCATGTGTAGAAGACCTCATCCCTAGCTGGTGGCACTGTTGGGAAGTGATTGGATGGCGAGGGCATGATCGATGGATTAAAACCCATTGATGATGGGGCTGGGAAGGTGGCTCAGTGGTAGACTGCTTGCCTTGTTTGCATGAGGCCCTGGGTTCGATTCCTCAGCACCACATAAGCAGAAAAAGCTGGAAGTGCCACTGTGGCTCAAGTGGTAGAGCACTAGCCTTGAGCTGAAGAGCTGAAGGACAGTGCCCAGGTCCAGAGTTCAGACCCCATGACTGACAACAAATAAACAAACAAACAAAAACCCATTGATGAGTTCGTAGCTGAATGCACTGTGCTGTTAGAAGGTGGGGGCCTTGCTGGAGGAAGTAGGTCACTGTGGAGTGCCTTTAAAGAGTGTATCTTGGGCTGGGAATGTGGCTTAGTGGTAGAGTGCTTGCCTAGCATGCATGAAGCCCTGGATTTGATTCTGCAGTAGTACATACACAGAAATAGCCAGAGTGGCACTGTGGCTCAAGTGGTAGAACGCTAGCCTTGAGCAATAGAAACTCAGGGACAGCGCTCAGGCCCTGAGTTCAAGCCCCACAGCCAACAATAAAATAAAATAAAGGGTATATCTTACCTTGAACACCCCCTTACCCCTCCCTTACTCCCCCCAGAACAGCTGTACTCCACCACCCGCTCACTGCACCCAGGCTTCTGCCTCCCTTAAAGAAATGGATCCCCTTAACCATGACTGAAACCCTGAATGGAAATCAGTCTCTCTTCCTTCAAGTTGCTGGTCTCAGGTATTTTGTTACAGAGATGAAAAGCTGAGGAACACAGAGGAGCCCCGCATGTCATAGGAATGAGAGTCATCACTGAATCCCTACATCCCTCAGAACTGGCTGGAGCAGCAGAGGAAGAGAGCCTCCGAGCAAAGACCCAGGGCAGCTGCAGGGCTGGCCGCTAGCCATGCCCCCCCCCCCCCCCAGGCATCAGGCTTTCTTCAAGGAGAGCCGAGCAATGTGCCTTGCTGTGGCCCTCCCCAGTTCATAGCTAGGCAGTGGGCAGTGGGTGCCAGCTCTGATGTCTCACATTCAGTGTGCTCTGTCCCTCAGAAGCAGGCCAGCTGCGGTGACCTGCTTTCCTCTTCCTCCTCTAGGTACCGGAAACTTGCCCTGAAGAACCACCCGATGAAGACAAATGAGTCAACTGCAGCAGATACATTCAGACAAATAGCAGAAGCCTACGACGTGCTAAGCGACCGTGAGTGATGATGGGGCTGAGCCACCCCTCCACTAAAATCATTCCTGATATCTCTGGGGGTGGGGGACCCTAGAGTATGCATCTGACTTCCCTGCTTGGAATCTAAAGAGAGAGACCATAGTAAAATATATGAAGAAGCCATACTTTAAGACCACTGTTCAAAGCCCAAGAGTTAGGCTGATTGTACACCTTGCCAGGAACAATCCCTTCACAGAAGTAGAGTGCATTTCTCTCCCCCTCTCCTGCCTCCTATGGCTCATGGATGAGGAACAAAGGATGATGCTGGCCATGGACATTTGGCTGAGGCTGAGCAGACACACACTCATCCTTCCCAGACTGACTGAGTGACTGAGTCCCCATGTCCCCAAGGGCAGAAGAAGGCCAGAAGTCATTAAGAAATCTCTTGCCACCCAGCACCAGTCAGTGTCCTGGTAGCTTCCTGAGGGCTTGTCCTGAGGCTGTGACCCTGGATCCGGCACAGAATGGCTAAAAGATTTAGGAGATGTCCAGCCCTGAGTTTTCACACTTCACGGTCCTCAGATTCTAGTCCAAAGCTCTAGAATTCTTAGACTCCAAAATATCCAGACTTTAGGATTCTAAATATCCACAGGGAAAGATGGCAGTTATATTGTTTGGTGCTGGTCCTGATGCTTGAACTCAGGGCCCGGGCACTTTCCCTGAGATTTTATGCTCAAGGCTAATACTTTACCACTTGAGCCACAGCTCCACCTTCAACTTTTTGATGATTAGATGGAGATAAGAGTTCATAGACTTTCCTGCGCCGGCTGGCTTCACACCAAATATTCAGCTCTTAGCCTCCTGAGTAGCTAGGATTACAGGCTCCTGAGCCACTGGTGCTGGCTGGCAGTAATGAATACTGAGTTAAGCCAAACCCCAGGCCAGTAGCCTAGCTTAACTTAGTCTCTAAATTCCTTTCTCCACTGAATCTGTTTCGCTAGTGAGCTCATTCTGGCTCAACCCAGAATGAAACTGAACTTTAAACTTCTGGGATCATGTCCCTGATACTGGTAGGCAGCAGGCATTCGGGATTGTTCCATCCCTTTCCCCCATGCTCTCCCATCCCCCATCTATCTTAGCCCCCAAGACTGGACCCTCTCCTCAAAGTCACACGTACCCACAGCTGTGAAGAGAAGCATCTATGACAAGTTTGGAGAAGAGGGCCTAAAAGGTGGCATTCCTCTGGAGTTTGGATCCCAGACCCCGTGGACAACTGGCTATGTCTTCCATGGCAACCCTGACAAGGTGTTCCATGAGTTCTTTGGAGGAGACAACCCCTTCAGTGGTAAGAGACCTGCTCTGCCCTGGCCTTACCAAAAGGGACACAGTTGTAAAAGATGCTTTTCTCTGAGTATTGTTTTTTGTTTGTTTACTTGTGTTCTATTTCTGGGGCTTGTCCTGGGCACTGTCCCTTAGCTTTTTTTTTTGTTGTTGTTGGTCGTGGGGCCTGAACTCTGGGCCTGGGCACTGTCCCTCAGCTCTTCAGCTCAAGGCTAGCACTCTACCACTTGAGCCTCAGCCCACTTCCAGCCTTTTCTGCTTATGTGGTGCTGAGGAATCGAACCCAGGGCCTCATGCATGCAAAGCAAGCACTCTACCATTGAGCCACCTTCCCAACCCCTGTCCCTTAGCTTTTTGCTTAAGGCTAGCACTCTACCACACGAACCGCAGCTCTACTTCTGGTAGAAGTAGAACCACTTTGGTGGTTAATTGGAGATAAGAGTCTTACAGACTTTCATGCCTTGGCTGGCTTTGAATTATTCAGCCTCCTGAGTAGCTAGGGTTATAGGTGTGAGCTATTCGGACTCTGCTGTTTTCTCCCAACTTAAAAAATATGCACAGTACTTCTAAAAATAAACAAAAGGCAAGATAGATTTTATTGATAAAAACCCAATTCCAGTCTTCCATTTTCTTCCCCAGAAGCATTTTCATACTGTTAAGTCTACAAAGGCTTCCAGAAATTTCCTGTGCCTTGATAGACATATATTTATTTTTTACCTAAGCCCTTTATTTTCTTCAGGAAATGGGATACATTGAACACACTGGTGTGTGTGTGTGTGTGTGTGTGTGTGTGTGTGTGTGTGTGTGTGTGTGCCAGTACTAGAGCTTGAACTCAGGGACTTGTGTACTTGTTTGCATTTTTCTGTTCACAATTGTAGCTCTACCATTTGAGCCACATCTCTACTTCTGATTTTTTGTTGTTTGGTTTGTCTTTGGACTTGTCTGCCTGGGTTGAGTTGTGATCTTTAGATCTCAGTAGCTAGTTAATTGGAGATAAGTTAATTGGGTGTCAGTGGCTTATGCCTATAAGCCTGGATAATCAGGAGGCTGAGATCTGAGGATCAAGGTTTGAAGCTAGCACAGGCAAGAAAGCCTGTGAGATTCTTGTCTCTAGTTCACTAGCAAAAATCCAAAATTGGAGATATGACTCAAGTCATAGAGCACCATCCTTGAGTGAAAAAGCTGAAACAAGGCTAAGGCCCTGAGTTCAAGCCCAGTACTGACACAAAAACAGAAACAAAACTAAATTTTCCTGTGCAGCCAAATTTTCCTAATTCAACTACTGGCTAGTTATGGCAATGGACCATTGGTTTGGCCTCTCTGGGCCCTGATACACGGGAAGGTCTTTTTATGCATTTTAGCTGCTCTTCACCTTTTTGTTGATTAGTTTTCTTGAGGCAGGACCTTGCTATAGAGCCTTGGCTGGTCTCAAACTTATAATATTCCAACCTCAACTTCCTGAATGCTTGGATTATAGGTATGTATCACCCATGCCTGACTTCTTCATCATTTTAAGAGAGGAGGGAAGATTAGGCACTAATATCCCATTCCATGGACCTAGAAACCAAAGCCAAAAGGACTGTACAGCACTCAAAGTACAGCTAGGATGGGGCTCTCTCTGCATTTGAATGGAAGAGCAGGGGCTGGAAGGGCTGTGGATGCAGAGCTGGTTGGGACAGAAGAGGTTGGGTGAAGAGGAATTTTGATACACTGATGAGCTCTCATATTTGCCAGGAACCAGCCTCCCACCTTTGTATCAACTGATAACTGCATAGAAACTTGAATCTGGGGCCTCTAATGGTTTGGGGCTGGGCTGGACAGTAAGGAGCTGCGGAGTCCAGGGACCTCTAAGGGAGGATTGTTTTCTTTGACCTGTTACTACCAGAATTAGCCACTAGAGAGAGAGGGTGTGCCTTATTTGCTGAGATATGCACAATCCAGGGCATCTCCTCAAATTGCTGGGGAGAGAAACAAATAGAGGTAAAGCAGAGGGGTGGAGGGGGGCTGGCAAGGAATGCTAATCATTGTAATTATTAGCGTGCAACTGAGGACAACTTTGCTTCTGAATCTGAAGGTTATTATGAAGTTGGCAGGTATACAGGAGTGTATGTGTCTCTATTTGGGGTGTGGGGAGAGAGGCAGAGGGAAAGAATGGCTTAGTTTTTAGACACAATTTCTCCTTCTCCTCTCCTTCCATTTCATTTATTTTTTATTTTTTTTTTGGTTGGTCGTGGGGCCTGAACTCTGGGCCTGGGCGCTGTCTCTCAGCTCTTCAGCTCAAGGCTAGCGCTCTACCACGTGAGCCACAGCGCCACTTCCGGCTTTTTCTGCTTATGTGGTGCTAAGGAATCGAACCCAGGGCCTCATTCATGCAAGGCAAGCGCTCTACCACTGAGCCACCTTCCCAGCCCCCTCTCCTTCCCTTTTGTAGAATTCTATGATGAAGAAGGGGGTGATGTGGATTTAAATTTTGGGGGACTCCGGGGCCGAGGAGTCAAGAAGCAGGACCCCCCAATTGAACGGGATCTCTACTTGTCCCTGGAGGACTTATTCTTTGGCTGCACCAAAAAAATCAAGATCTCACGAAGGGTGAGTACTTGGCTTGCTCCTCTTGGGGGCCACCTTTTGTATCCCCACTTTCCCGGCTGCCCTCCTCTCTTATTCTATTTCTTTTTTCCTTCCTTCCTTCCTTCCTTCCTTCCTTCCTTCCTTCTTTCCTTCCTTCCTTCCTTCCTTCCTTCCTTCCTTCCTTCCTTCCTTCCTTCCTTCCTTCCTTCCTTCCTTCCTTCCTTCCTACCTTCCTTTCCTTTCTTTTTTTTTGCCAGTCACGGGGCTTGGACTCAGGGCCTGGGTACTGTTCCTGAGCTTCTCTTGCTTAAGGCTAGCGCTCTACCACTTGAGCCACAGTGCCACTTCTGGCTTTTTCTGTTTAGGTGGTACTGAGGAATCGAAGGCAGGGCTTCATGCATGCAAGGCAAGCACTCTACCACTGAGTCACCTTCACAGCCCTAGTCCTCTCTTATTCTAACTGGAGGGCTTGGGAATGGTCTCTGGTGGACTCATGGAATCCTAGACTGAGGGATGTAGGATCTTTTATTTCTAGAGTCTGAAATTTGGATGAGACCATGGAAGGGTTAGCTCCTCCCCACCCCCACCCCTCGCAGTGCAGACTCCTAACTGCATCAGGACCCCTTCTGCTCTGTATCCAGCTCATCCTTGGGAAGGGTGATGAACCTGCAATGGGGGAAGCTCCTGTGAGTTCTGATTTCTATTATTTCTAGGCCACGCTCCAGGCTTTCTTTAGTGTGTGTGCTTCATGAGCAAGTGGCAGGTGTGTTGGCTTCGAGGGTGGGCTGGAGGATAATTCATAAGGTAGTGACTGGTTGAAAAAGACCCTATGTGCCCTACAGTCCTTGGCTTGTTGCTGTCCCATGTCCAGCTCTCTACCCATCCCCCTCTTCTTCACCAGCAGAGATTATAGCCACACCCTTCACAGATAGTACCCATACACGGGCACCTGTGATTGGGCAGGGGCTGCTTTGGGCGAAGCTCAGATCCATTAGCTTCCCTGTTCTTTCTCCCTCTGGGGTAAAGAGATCCTACCCCTGGCCCAGAGCCAGGCCTCTGAGATTTGGAGGTAGGAACTGCATCTCTGTTAATGGCCAGGGCTAGTGGGGTGGGTTTAATCCACTCCTGGTGACTGTCTTGGTGTCTGAAGACACGTCTTGCCATTCAGTGACATAGAATGGGCATGGGCTGGCTCAGGGCAGGTCCTATTGCTAGAGGAGCAATGCAATCCTGAGCATCTTTCCCATGGGCAGAGGAGGCTCATAGAAGTCTAAGCAAAGCACCCTCCTCCCTTTCACTGCAGGTGCTAAATGAGGATAAGTATTCCTCTACCATCAAGGACAAGATCCTGACAATTGATGTGAAGCCTGGCTGGAGGCAGGGCACACGAATCACCTTTGAGAAGGAAGGGGACCAGGTGAGGAAGAGAAGCAACCAGGCTGTGGTGGGTAGATGGAAGGGAAAGGAGGAAATGCTTTTTCTGCTCCTGTGAACTCTGGTTTGGTAGGATGAGATGATCCCTGAGGTCCCCAGACACACAGCCTCACTGTGCTGCTGTCAGAGAGTTTACCACTCCACTAACAAATAATAGCTAGATGCCAATGGCTCATGCCCGTAATCTTAGCTACTCAGGATACCGAGATCTGAGGATGGAAGCTCAAAGCTAGCCAGGGCAGGAGAATCCATGACACTCTTATCTCCAATTACCCACGAAAGGAAGGAAGGAAGGAAGGAAGGAAGAAGAAAGAGAAAGAGAGAGAGAAAGAAAGAAAAAGAAAAGAAAGGAAGGAAGGAAGGAAGGAAGGAAGGAAGGAAGGAAGGAAGGAAGGAAGGAAGGAAGGAAGGAAGGAAGAAAGAAAGAATAGAAAAAGCCACAAGTAGAGCTGTGGCTCAAGTGGTAGAGTGCTAGCCTTGAGCACAAAAGCTCAGGAAAAGTGTTCAGGCCCTAAGTTCAAGCCCCAGGTCTGGCACACACACACACACACACACACACACACACACACACACACACACACACACACACACACACACACACACACACACACACACACACACACACACACACACACACACACACACACACACACACATGGGAAATAGGGTTACCTCAAGTGGGAAACTGAGGCCCAGAGACAGAGGGACTTGCCCAAGACAAGAGCACAAGAGCTGAATGGAGACTGCAGTCTCCCCTCCAGTGCTTGTCCTGTTTTGTTCCAGGGTTTGTTGAATAAAGTCCAATTGTAGGAACTCTTCTACTTCTGTAGGAATAACTTTAAGTTAAATACTTACTTAAATAGAAATTCAAAATTATTGTCCTAGGGATGCTGAATTCTTTAGCATTTGAATCTTTTTCTTTCTTTTTCTTTTTTTGCCAGTCCTGGGGCTTGAATTCAGGGCCTGGACATTGTCCCTGAGCTTCTTTTACTCAAGGCTAGTGCTCTACCACTTAAGCCACAGCACCACTTCCAGCCTTTTCAATTTGTGTGGTACTGAGGAATCGAACCCAGCACTTCATGCATGTTAGACAAGTATTCTACCACTAAGCCATATCCCCAGCCCTGAGATTTTTTCAAAATAACAAATAAGCATGCTCTTCAAGTAGCTTCCGTATTTCCTACTTTGGCTAGCCTACCCTGAGCTGGGCCAGCAGCATCTCAGCCAAACAATCACTGTGGGCCTGTCTCCCCCATCACTGGGGAGAGGGGCTTCTCTGTCTCTTCCACAGGGGACCCCAGCAGCTTCAATGCCTGAGTAAAGCTCAGGTGAGGGGTGTCACCTGTGAGGTGCTAACAGAGCCGAGACTTGAGGTGGTTGAGACTTGAGGTGGTGGTCTGACACCCAGCTCATTGCTGCTGGGGGAAACGCCCCCCTCCACTGAGTTGATCTCTTTGGGTACTTCCTGGGGAGTCACGGGGGTCAGCTCTCAGGGCAGGGGGCTCTGGGTCACATGGAAATGGCCCTTGCAGAAAACCCCGTCTAATCTCCCCATTGTGCAGATGAAGCCATGGAGACAAGTAGAGGCAGGAATTTGGCCAAAGTCACACAGCCAATGAGTCCTTGTTGCCCCTTGGCCTCCCCTGCCCAGGGCCCCAACATCATCCCAGCCGACATCATCTTCATAGTAAAGGAGAAGCTGCATCCTCGCTTCCGCAGGGAGAATGACAACCTCTTCTTTGTGAACCCCATCCCTTTGGGAAAGGTGAGTGGGAACCATGCAGAGCCTGGGGTGGGGGTGGGGTCCAGCCTGCACCACCTACAATAACCTAGACTTTGCCTCCCCTCGCCCAGCCACTGGCCACCAGCCACAGCCTCTCACCTTCCAGATTTGTCTCTCCTTTATCTCTCCTGTTCGTCCCTCTGTGCCCTCTGCTCATTCAGCAGGGTGCGCTGAGCACCCCTGTCTGGGCCAGGCGTTTCCAATCAGGGTACACTGAGCACCCTTGTCTGGGCCAGGTGTTTCCACTCCTTGTTCTCTGTTCCTGCTGGGGATCTTCTGATAATGCTGTTACCCACCTTGCCTTTGGAGGCCCTCCTCACCAGCGCCACCACGGTGCAGCCCTCCTTCCCACTCCAGCAGGATGAGGGCCCTCCTTGCCTCCCAGAGCCCCCACCCCACCCCTGCCTTTCCTATTTGTAGTAAGACCCTGTACTCTATCCCCATCAGAGTGGCTTTCCACACCTCAAACTCCTTGAGGGGATTGGGAATGTGGTAGAGTGCTTGCCTAGCATGCATGAAGCCCTGGGTTCAATTCCTTCCTCACTACCACATAGAAAAAGCCAGAAGTGGCACTATGTCTCACGTTGGTAGAGTGCTAGCCTTGAGCAAAAGTAGCTCAGGGACAGTGCCCAGGCCCTGAGTTCAAGCCCTAGGACTGGCAAAAACAAACAAACAAAATAAAACAAGACAAAAACTTGAGGGCAGATAACAACCCTGGGCTTATTCACTCAGTTCTCAAGTAGCCTCTGTCTCCCTGGTTCCAAACTCAGGGGTTGGCTCCAAATAGCCTCACAAGAGCCGGGTGCTAGTGAGTCACACCTGTAATCCTAGCTACTCAGGAGGCTGAGATCTGAGCATCACAATTAAAAGCCAGCCTGGGCATGAAAGTCTGCAAGATAGTTATCTCTAATTAACCACCAGAAAACTGGAAGTGGAGCTGTGGTTCAAGTGGTAGAGCTCTAGTCTTGAGCACAAGTTCAGGGACAGTGCTTAGGCTCTGAGTTTAAGGCCCAGTACGTACACACACACACACACACACACACACACACACACACACACACACACAAACACACACACACACACACACACACACACACACACACACGATGGCTGTGGTGACTCTCCCCTCCCTTATTCGATCCTAACTTCCCCAGGCTCTTACCTGCTGCACCGTGGAGGTAAAGACCTTGGATGACCGCCTGCTCAACATCCCTATCAATGACATCATCCAGTAAGTCTGTCTGTTTGCCTTGAGCTCCAGGAGCCACTAGAAGGGCTGGCTTGGAATGTAAGGCGGTAATGTGAGACAGGTCTGCCTTGTATAGTTGTACAGGCTGCCCCTAGCTCAAGGATCCTCTTCTGAGAGGGCAAGAGAAGAAGAAATCCACCCCCACACTGGCCAAAGTGCCAGCTTCATGCACCTGGAAGAAAAGAAGAGCTTATTTCTAATTTGCATAAAGCCATAGTAGAGGCTCGAGCTCCCCAAAGTGGGGGCAATTCCTGTTTTCTCTTACCCTCAATTAAAGGGTAGGAGAAATTAGAGGAATTCATTGGAGTCCCCCGTCACCTCTCCTAAGTCCTTTCGCAACAAAGGTCCTTTGCTCCACACTGGTGGTACCTGCCTGCATTCTTAGCTACTCAGGAGGCTGAGATCTGAAGAGCCTGGTTCAAATTCAGCCTGGGTAGATAAACCCTCAAGACTTAATTTCCAATCAATTGGCAAAAAGCTGGAAGTGGATGTATGGCTTACGTGGTAGAGTGCCAGTCTCAAGCAGAAAAGCCCGGTGAGAGCATGAGGCCCCGAGTTAAGCCCCAGTACTGGAACAACAACAAAAAGAAAGGCCCCTTGGGTGGAAAAGGTTGTTCATCATCTCTACCTGCACCCCAGGATTTGCCCTGTTGCCCATGGTGACTCAGAGGGCCCAACCTGTTCTACATGTGGGAGTGGTATGGACCTCTTGGGACCACTGCAGGGTGCCCTCTAAACGCCCTTCTTTCCCTCTCCCTCCCCAGTCCCAAGTACTTCAAGAAGGTGCCAGATGAAGGGATGCCATTGCCGGAGGACCCCACCAAGAAGGGGGACCTGTACATCTTCTTTGACATCCAGTTCCCCACCCGCCTCACACCGCAGAAGAAGCAGATGCTGCGCCAGGCATTGCTGACCTAACTCGGGGAGCCTCACTGCTCTGCAGCCTCTGTACATGTGACATGGGGGGGGGGGGGGATGGCACAGAGCCTTCGGCTGACACAATAAAGATTTATTTCCTGGGCTGGGAATGTGGCTTAGTGGTAAAGGGCTTGCCTAGTGTGCATGAAGCCCTGGGTTCGATTCCTCAGTACCACATAAACAGAAAAAGGTGGAAGTGGCGCTGTGACTCAAGTGGTAGAGTGCTAGCCTTGAGCACAAAAGCTCAGGGACAGTGCCCAGGCCCTGAGTTTAAGCCCCAGGACTGGTGGAAAAAAAAAAAAAAAGTATTTCCTATCCTCAGCTAGGCCCCAGAATATGTGTCAGGCAGGAGCCTCACGCTGGGTTCTAGAATTCCTAGTTTGGCTTTGCTTGAGCATTCAGGATTCAGAGCTTGAGGATTCAGCTTGAGAATTCAGAGCTTTTGTCTTCCTCCCACCTTGGTAGCCGGGAGTGGGGAGGGGAGGGACAGGGCTGTGTGGTCTCAGGGTCTCCGCTCTACTCTGACATTTTGGATGCATGCTCTCGTGTGTGTGTGTGTGTGTGTGTGTGTGTGTGTGTGTGTGTGTGTGTGTGTGTGTGTGTGTGTTGTCTGCCTGTCTGCATGCTGGTACTGGGGCTTGAACTCAGGGCCTGGGCACTGTCCCTTAGCCTTATTACTCAAGCTAGATCTCTACCACCTGAGCTATAACTCCACTTCTGACTTTTTTTTTCTGGTTAATTACATATGAGTTTCATGGACTTTCCTGTTGTAGCTGGCTTCAATTAGGGATCCTCAAATGTCAGCCTCCTGAGTAGGATTACAGGCAAGAGACACTAGTACCCAGCTTGGGACACAAGATCTTTAGAGGGGGACAGTTTCTGGAATATGATGTGTCCCATTATGGAGACAAAAAAGAAAGCTAGTAGGGAAGCTGGGTGCTGGTTGCTCATGGATATGGTCCTAGCTACTCAGGAGGCTGACATCTGAGGATCGTAGTACAAAAGAACGCCAGTAGTTCCCTATGGCAAAGCTGTCATTAGAACCTAAGACCACTTCCTACAGACACAATAGCTTCGGTTAAGCCGGGCGCTGGTGGCTCACACCTGTAATCTTAGCTACTCAGGAGGCTGAGATCTGAGGATTGCGGTTCAAAGCCAGCCCGGGCAGGAGAGACCGTGAGACTCCGATCTCCAATAAACCACCAGAAAACCGGAAGTAGCGCTGTAGCTCAAGTGGTAGAGTGCTCGCCTTGAGCTGAAGAGCTGAGGGACAGCGCCCAGGCCCAGAGTTCAAGTCCCATGACCGACAAAAAAAAACAAAAAAAACCCAATAGCTTCAGTTAGAGGCACACGGACAGCACAGTTCTTCTTCTCCTCCTCCTCCTTTTTTTTTGTCAGTCTTGGAACTCAGGGCTTGGGTACTGTCCCTGAGCTTCCTTTGCTTAAAGCTAGTGCTCTATCACCTGAGCCACAGTGCCACTTCCAGCCTTTTCTATTTATGTAGTACTGAGGAATTGAACCCAGGACTTCATGCATGCAAGACAAGTACTCTACCACTGAGCCACCTTCCCAACCGGTTCTACCTCCCTCCCCCCATCACTACCTTCTTGAACCAGCTACTGCCCCATCTGGTCAGCCAAGCAGGGCTCAGACCCTGTTACCATGGTGATGCTAGTGCGATGGTGGTGAATTCAGGCTTAGATTTGGGGGAAGGGGTTCTGCATTGTTACTCACGTAGCCTGTGGGTTTCACACGTGTGTTCCAGAGTCAATAGTAGTATCTCATGCTCCTCTGGAGTCCGACTTGGGGATTATGTTAAGTAAGAGAGTAGCTTCAGAGGTTCTGAGACAGCCCTCCTTCCCCCCCTTTCCATATGGGACACATTTGTTTAGAATCCCACCCTTCGTTAACACCATAGTAGTAGCTTAAGTGTTTCCTCTTTGTTTTTATGGTACTGGGTACCCCTTACTTGCTAGGCAGTCTCTATGACCATGGTCCCAACCCTTTTTGCTTTTAGTTTTTTTGTAAATAGGGTCTCACTTTTTGCCCAAGACAACCTGGATGCTTCCATGGAGCTGGGATGCCTGAGCCAGCCAACTTTGCCCAACTGCTTGTTGGTTGAGATGAGGGCCTCACTTTTCTGGTTGGCCTTCAACCATAATCCTCCTGATGTCTGCTTTTGGAGTAGCTAGGATAACAGGGCCCAGCTTTCCTTCCTTCCTGGTGCTTTACTGCTGTGTCATTTCTTTTTTTTTTTTTTTTTTGTCGGTCGTGGGGCTTGAACTCTGGGCCTGGGCGCTGTCCCTCAGCTCTTCAGCTCAAGGCGAGCGCTCTACCACTTGAGCTACAGCGCCACTTCCGGTTTTCTGGTGGCTTATTGGAGATAGGAGTCTCACGGTCTTTCCTGCCCTGGCTGGCTTTGAGCCGCGATCCTCAGATCTCAGCCTCCTGAGTAGCTAGGATTACAGGCGTGAGCCACCAGCGCCCGGCTGCTGTGTCATTTCTTTAGCCTGGTTTTTCACCGATTATTTTTAGTATAGGGTCTTGCTTCTCACCCAGGCCCAGGCCCAGGCTGGAGCTATGATCCACTGTTAGGCTTCCTTTTGCCATTGGGATCACACGAGTTCCATTTTCCCCTGTGGTGATGGAGTCTCTTAGACTTTTCTGCTAGACTGGCCAGGTACCATGATCCTCCCAATCTCAGCCTTCCACGTAGCTTGGCATGAGAGGCGCTCACTACTGCATCCAGTTAGAGGCCAAGAAGGGGGTCTCCAAAACTTTTCTGCCTGAATTGGCCTTGAACTTCCACTATCCAATTCTTAGCTTCCCACGTAGCTAGAATGACCAATGTGAGCCACTGGTGCTTGGGTATTTTTCTTCTTCAGTAGTTCATTGCTATGTTGCCCTGGGTGGCCCTAAACCCTTGGGCTTGCCTCTTGAGGCACTTGCCCCAGCTTCTCAAATAGCTAGGACTACAGGGCTCTACCACTGCTCCCAGCTTTTGCAGCCATGATCAAAGATCATTCAATACCGTGAAGGCAGCAGCAGAAAGACCTTGAGATAGACTATGGAGCCAAGACTCTAGGAAGTGCCTCAATACAGGGTCTGGTGCACCTTTAGAATCCCTGGGAGCCTTGGGCCCATTCTTACAATGATTCCAGCCCTTTGTGGGGAAAGCAGTTGATAGTGAGGGATGCTGTATTCTGAGCTGGGCCTAGGTAAAGGGGGTGCTGGTAACTGCCCCTTCTGAGAGCAAGCCATGAGGAGTGGAAGGGCTGTGCTGTGAAGCTCTAGAACTCCAGGCCTCCTCTATAATAGCTGTTTCTGGCTGTCCTGGTAGCCTCTGATGGTCTCAGGCTTGAAGACAAACCTCCATAAGCTTTAACTGCAGTGGTCAGTGAAAAGCAGGGAGGGCCAGGAGCGTTCCTGAGCCCTACATTTCCCAAAGATTGCTGCTACCTTTTCAGCTTCTCACTCCAGGGATTTGTCCAGAACTGTGATGAGTTCAGGTGGCCTTGTATCCATCCATGTCTCGGACCCAAAGCTGGTGAATAAACCAGCTGACCAATTAATGAAAGCAGGTAAACAAACCACTTGGCCTGTTTACCTGCCCCTGCAGGTAGCCAACTGCACCTCTAATGCCTGCCTCACGGACTCATGGGTAAAGGTTGAAGGCTGAGGCCAGGTTTCCATTTATGCCAAAGCCCTTCAGCCCAGCAGTGAGCCCTAGGCTGGGCTGCCTGTCAGCCTCACTCTGGTTCGCAGCTTCATGGGGTCTGAGGTCTCAGCTGGGTTTTTCAGACACTGGGAAGTGCACTGGGTAGTCCTGCGACTTCCTGCCCAAGGACTAGTGGATGTAGCCTCCAACTCTGACTCATGGGCTGAGGAGGGAGGGGGAGGGACTAGCAGTGGTGCCAACTGCTTTAGGCTAAGAGAAGAGGGAGGGAGGTCCTGTGGTCTGGGCTTAGCTCTCAGTACTGGCCCTGGGAGTGTCCATCAATGAGAGGAAGCCAGGACTTCCCAGTTCAGCTGCTGATTGTATGTTTTTTCTCTAGACAACCAGTTGTGGGGCTTGAACTCTGGGGCTGGGTGCTGTCCCTGAGCTCTTCAGCTCTACCACTTGAGCCACAGTGCCACTTCCGGTTTTCTAGTGGTTAATTGGAGGTAAGAGTCTCTCGGAGTTTCCTGCCCAGGCTGGCTTTGAACCGCACTGAGTAGCTAGGATTACAGGCATGAGCCATCAGCCCCGGGCAATCCCCCAATCCTTGAAACAGAAGTAGCTCTGCCCATCTACTTTTAGGCACAGATGGTAAAAAGGGACAGAGCAGCTAAGACCCCTGTGTAGTCAACGCTCTCGCTTATTCTCATCTCTTTGGGGGTACCTACAAGAGGGGAGGCTCTCAACAGGAAGTACCCTCAGGCAGAGATTTGGTGTTTGCCCTGCAACCTAAATTTACCCTAAGCTGAGTCAGGGCTGACACGTGCCTGAGAAGCCAAGGCTGGGGAAGCAGACCTTCCTTGTTCTCACTAGGTCTAGGACTTTGGGTGTTTCCCATTTGTAAAATGGAACAAAGGAGACCCATAGCATGGAGGATTCCAAGTTCCTCTAGAGGAACTGCGCTCTCACTGCAGATGACAGAGCTGAGAACGGAGCATTCACTGATTGAGTGAGAACACAACTGGCCCACAAGGAAAGGGCAGGGAGAATAAAGTCACTGCTGTCTCAATGGGCTGCTCTCTCACTCAACACCACGGCCCAGAACCTGGGTGGAGAGTGAGAAAGAACCAGCATCCATGGGCCCACACTGGATGCTGCAAGTGGATGGTGGGACACACCCCTTTCCCAAGTCAGGTGGCTTCCCCCTTGCCCACCAGGTGCCAAAGGGCCCATGGACCAAGACCTCTGGCAACAGCTACAAGAGAGGGAGGAGACACCGAGGTTGAGCTGGCTTTATGGGGGACAGGCTAGCTGGGCTGGGGGGGTGGTCAGGATAAAGATTTAGGATGAACTTTTCAAGGGATTGAGGCTTCAGGTCTCCTAGCTATCAGATGTGGGTCACCTCCACCAGCACTGAGCCAGTATAAAGAGG